TGGAGGAAACTGAGATTAAATGACTTGCCCAGGTTCACGTAGTTAGTATCTGATGCTGGATTTGAACTTAGAACTTCCTGACTTCCGGTCTAGCGCTCTACCCACTGACCATCCCTGTTAGTTTCTCTTTTCAGTTTCATTGATAAGTTGAAAGCCGTGGACTCGATAGCCTTTGAGGTCCCTTCCATCTCTAAATCATACTTGGTGGCAGTTACTCACACCTCCAGGACTGGAAGTCCCCCAATGTCCCTTCCTTTCTCTCAGGGGTCCTCATGCTGTTACCCCCTGGAGAGGAAAGAGAAATTTCTTCTCCTCCAACTTCTTTCCTGGAGTTGAGAAATGATTGCCCTTCAAGAGCTAGGTGCTTCTTCCATAAATGACTCTCCTCTTGATTCTTCAGAGTTGTTTTCCATTTCATCTGACTCCTAAGAGAATGTGTCTCCTTCCTTAAAGGGCCATCAGTGGCATGGCTGATCCTTGGTTATCTACCCTTTAGTTCTATCCATTCTGATGAGAGAACTTCTCCTACCTTGTCAAGAAATAACAGAGTGTAGGCATATCTTTGCATTTTAACACCTTTATACTTCGTCATCTGTCACCTGTTCCTTATCCTTTGAGATTTCATCAACTGGGGGGGGGCAGAATCAATGGATAGGGGAGGGAGATGGAATGGCCACAGTACAGGTCACTGGAAAATTCCTCTGTGTTTTCTACACTGATTCAAATGCAGATCCTCTGACTTTAAATCAAAGCTTTCCACTGAATCCCTCTGCCCCTGCCATCCATTATGCTTTATAAGTCTTAAAATGACATGTAAGTGGGAGTTATCATCACACCCAGGCTTTCTCTGAAAAAGACCGTTATTTGTGGGTTTTCTCAGTGATTAGCCCTTAATGAGAATTAATTAATACAGCATCTCCAGTTCAGTGATGAGCTAGATACTGGAGATTAAAGTGACTGTGTTTTCCATTGGCCATGAAAGAAATAAGCTTATTTGGGTGTTGAATTGTGTTTTGTTAAATGCCAGCTACAGGAAAATTGATTTTAATAATCTTTCCTTCAATGGCTCTGGAAAGGTTTGTGTTTACATGACCACCTCTGAAATGAAAACCATGGCTGCAATATTATTCAGCTTCCAAGAATATGTAAGATGTGATTAAGGAAAGAGAGGGCACTCTGTGGTTTGACAGAAGGGAAAGAGATTTTGTATATAGTTGGTTCTAATCATTTGGAGAGCTCCTCATATTTATATCAGTCATTTCTAGACATAACTCGTCCCCAGCACCAAACCCTCCCTTTTATCAAAGACAAACAGCTCAGTAAAAGCAATTGATCAAAGTTACCACGTCTGACAGTGGATGCGACACACTGGCCCAGTATTCTCTCACCTCTCTGTCTAGATGAGGGAGTCGTATCATATTGACTCTGCAATCAAAAGGCCTGGGTTCAGTCAGTCAACAGGTAATTTATTAAGAGCCTTCTATGTGCCAGGAACTGTACTAAGTGCTGAGAATAACCCCCCCAAAAAGTGGTCCCTGTTCTCAAGGAGCTCACATTATAATGCGGAAGACAACACGCAAACATATATGTGCATATAAGACATTTACAGCATAATTGGCAGGTAATCTCAGAGGGAAGGCACTAGCAGGTGGGAGATCAGGGAAGGTTTCCTGCAGAAGGTAAAATTTTAGCTGAGACTTGAAGGAAGTCAGGAAAACCGGGAAATAGAGGCAAAGAAGGAACTGTCTCTCAGGTGAGGCTTTTGAGTTCGAAAAAAAAATTATCTTTTTTGAGATATAGTAACCCTGGGAGGGGGAGGTGCTACAAGCATAAATATCTCCATTTTACAGATGAGGAAACTAAGGATCTGAGGGTTTAAAGACTTGCTCACAGTTGCACAGGCCATAATTAATCAGTCCTTAGACAAGCCTTTTGGCCAGACACAATCAATCAATCAATCAACTAATCATTCAATGATTCTTTTGACTGGGCACTGCATGCTAGGCACCAGGAGTACGAACATGAAAGAGAGACAGCTCCTGATGTCAGTGAGCTTGTATTCTACTGAAGAAACAGCCTTGTAAGTACATAGGGAAATATGCTAAGTATGCTAGATTGGTGTCCACTTATTGAGGGGTGGGGGTGACAGTGCTCAGAACTGGGGGGAACAAGAAGAGATGCCTTGAGGAAGCAACACCCAAGCTGAGGAGCTGGGACTCTGAAAGCCGGTGTTCTACTCTGAAAGGGCAGCCTGAGAATGGGAGATGGGATAGAGCGGAGGTGCTAGGTGCCACTGAATAAATATCAGTGGGTATGTGAACTTGAATGAGGGGGGAAAAAAATCACATCCTCATTTTCACTAACCTAGGTTCCCGTTGTAATTCTATGTACCTTATTTCATGTATTTAAAAACATTCTTCCAAGAGTCCCCAGGCTTAACAAGTTTCTGAAGGGGTCCATGACCAAAAAAAAAAAAAAAGGTTAGGAGTCCCTGGAATATAGAGAAAAACAAATAATCCAGTTTATCTAGAGTTTAGAGTCTGTGAAAGAGAAGAATGTGTGATTACACAGGAAAAATAAGCCACAGCCAGACTCTAAAGGGCTTTGAAGGCCAAACTGGAGAGGTCACATTTTATCCAAAAGACAACAGGGGACCCATAATGCTTACTGAGTAGAGAAGTGACATGTCAGATCTGCGCTGTAAGAATATCCACTGGGCAGCCTCATGGAGGATGGAACGGGCCCAGATGCAGGTGGATGGAATAAGCTATGGCAATGGTCCAGGTGATTGGTTTTCTAAGTCAATATGCTTCCTGCAGGGATCCTTATGAATGGTTTCTATTTGAATTTGACACCATTGCTTGAGGGCAATGATCATCTCTGGGGGAGCTGTGTGCAGTTCTGGAAGCCACATTTTAGGAAGGACTGATATGCTGGAGAACTGCCAACCAGTGCAGTCAATGGCCTCAAGATGTTGCCCTATAATGACTACTTGGAGGGACTTGGATGGTGAGCCCAGGGAAGAAAAGACTCAGGGGCTGTAGTAGCCATCTTCAAGTACTTGGAAGGCTGTTATGTGAAAGAGAGCTTTCATGGTGCTTGGCCCCAGAGGGCCTTTTTTTAAGGGGATTTGTTCTGTGAAGTTTGGATTCAAAGGGCCGAACTTGAGGACCCAGAGGGTTACATGTGGCCTTCAGGCCGAAGGTTCCCCACCCCTGGCCTAGGAAGACAAACTTTCCAATGATTAGAACTTTCTCAAAGATGAATGAACTGCTTTAGGTAGTAATAGGTTCCATGTAGGTCCCCAAGCCAAGGCTGGTGGAGCACTTGTTGAGGATGCTGTGAAGGAGATTCCTTTTTCGGCTATGGATCAGATTGGCTTCCCTGGCTTCCTTTAAGTGCCAGCTAAAGTCCACCTTCTGAAAAAAACAAAACAAAACAAAACAAAAACAAAAAACATACCTCTCCCAGACCCCCATAATGCTAGTGCCTTCTCTTTGTTGATTATCTCCCATTTGTCCTGTATGCCTCTTCTCTCTTTGTATGTCATTGTTTGCATTTTGTCTCCACCATTAGACTCTCAGTTCCTTGAGAGCAAGGATTATCTTTTGCCTTTTTTTGGTTATCTCCAGTACTTAGCACAGTACCTGGCACATAGTAGGTGTTTAATAAATGCTAGTTGACTGACTGACAGATGGCCTCTGAAGTCCTTTCCAACTGTGATATTCCGTGATTTTGAAATTCAACCTCCATCGCCATCTCCCTACTCCTATCCTCCAGAAGCAACGGGACAGGAAACCAGCTTTTTACCCAGAAAGATCTGAGTTCAAATGTCACCTCTAGTACATATTGGCTGTAAGACCTTGGGCAAGTTACTTAACCTCTTAGTGTCCCAGATGACTCCCAAAGATTTACTTATTTCTTGCCAGAGGCCTACTGCCATACCTTTCCATTTTTCTATGTGCACATGGGTAAGGTTGCCATTCAGTGAACTGGCTGGTAGATTCCTGCCTCTACTGTCTTTCTTCTTGGCACACTCTCCTCACCCCTGTATAACTCCCATGACCTATGCTCCTACCCCCAGTTTTCCTCTAGAAGAAAACATGCCTTAGGATGGCAGTGGCACATGTAGCTTCCATCCATGCTGGTATTGACATTATGGTTAGCATTCAGTAGTCTCCTAGCAAGGGAGATGATAACCTGCCCTGATGAAGGAAGTTTCTCATTGATAATTTCCTCTACTGACAAAATCACAGAGCCAGCCCCAAATCCCAAATAACAACAATCCTGATGGTACTTACTGTTACCCCACAGCTGGCTGAAACCAGACATGGGGAAGAAAGCCAAGCACAAGACACAGATCAAGAAGAAGACTTTGAATCCTGAGTTTAATGAGGTAAGTGCCCTCCAAAGGTGTTGTGGGCTTCAGATGAGAGAAAGCATGGAAAGAAGGTTAGACGAAGTGGGTTTAGTGAGACAGATCTGCCACATGGGCCAGCTCAGAGCTGGAAGAAAATCTGTCTTCTGGCACAGATGGGGAATGTGGCCCGCAGTGGTGAAGGGACTTGGCCACCATCATATGGCATGAGTCAAGTCTTCTGGCCAACTCCCAATTCTGTTCACTTTTAATGGAAATAACCACAAAGTGCACAGCACATTGCATTAATGTGTGTGCCCAGGAAATGAGAGACAGAGAGACAAAGACAGAGACAGAGAGAGATGGACATAGAGAGACAGAGACACACAAAGAGATACAGAGAGATAGAGACAGAGAAGGATGGATGGAGAGCTAGAGATGATAGAGACAGAGAGACAGATAAAGGTAGAGTGTTAGTGAAAATAGATAGAAATTATATAGAGAGATAGAGATGATAAGTTAGAAATAGACATTGAGAGATAGAGATGACAAAGATAGCTATAGATGATAGAAATAGATGTATATGTACAAATATACATACAGATTGTATAAATATGCACACAATAGATATGTATATATACCTGTAGAGCATATATACATATATATGAACATAGATACATCTATGTATATATAACACATATACATATATTGAGGCAAAGATATTGAATACTCAGTCATAGAAGATATTATTTTTATTGATTAAATTAAAGAAACTAAATAATAAGTAAGCTTAATTTAAAAAAAAAACAAATTGGGGAGCTAGGTGGCACAGTGGATAAAGCTCCAGCCTTGGAGTCAGGAGGGCCTCAGTTCAAATCCGGTGTCAGACTCAGACCAAAAAACACTTGACACTTACTAGCTGTGTGACCCTGGGCAAGTCACTTAACCCCAATTGCCTAAAAACAAAAACAAAAACAAAAAAACCCCCAAACTTCTGTTTAAAATATCAACTTTAAAAATAAGAAACAAAATAGCAACTTTGGGGGAGACCCTATACACACACCTGTGGCAACAACCCCTGGCATCTGAGGTGATAATAAAGTGTACTGCATATGGAGTCAGGGGACCTGAATTAAAATCTCCATTTCTTTGTGAACTAGCTGTGTGGTCTTGGGCATGTCACTTCTCTTGGTGTCGGTTTCCTTCTTTATGAAATGAGGGTGCTGGGCTTGATGGCCCCGAGGGGCTTTCCTTCAGCTCTTGGATCCTATGACTAGGTTGTCCCCAAGCCATTGTGGGAAATCTGTTGGGTTCTACTGTATGCTGTACATACCATTCTCATCTTAGAGCTTACACTGGGGGCAATCAGTAGGCAAGGGAGAAAGTCTGAATTCTAACCAGATTATTTCTTCTCACCATTAGTGTAGTTAGAAAAATAGGACATTTGATGTGAGCAGGAAAGCAGTAACTGCTGTGAGAAGACCCTGAAAGGGCAGTCGGTTCTCTCTACCTCTCTTGACAAATTCAAAAATAAACATTCACTTATACACATTCACCTTGACTCTATGCAAGGCACTGTGCTAGGTGGGGGTTAGGGGATAAAAGCACAACAGTTTTGACCCTATAGAGCTTACATGTGTAATGGGGGGAAATGAGAGGACCAGTATAGACTCTAATAAGTAAGTGTAATTCACAGCCTAGAGCAAGGGGTCAGCAAACTACCACCTGAAATACCAGCCAAATCTAGCCCACCTCCTCTTTTTGTATGGCCTGTGAGCTAGAACCCAAAACTCTGGGCTTATATGGACCAGGTTCCACTTTGGGTGATTCTCTAAAATCACAGCTTTTTTGGCTCTTTCTTCTATTATCCAGAATTTCTTCATGGAACTTCCAAATAGAAGTTTCTGTTTAGGTCTCCACAAATGTGGGTGAAAAGGCCCTTCCAGTTCCATAACTTGGGATCTAATTATTCAAAGTCACAGAAAAACAATCGATTCCCTTTCACCACTAATTCATTCCCTTTCCCACACTCACTATACCCTAAGCAGATATCAAAGGGGAGGAGGACATGACCAGAAGCATTTGGCACTGTTACCTGGAGAAAGGACTAAACTCATTTCTACCAAGCTCTTTGAGGTTAGCTGCCCAGGTCCAAACACAGACAGCCACAACTGGGAGGGTCTATAGAACAGATTGTCACAAATAGAATTCTTAGCTGGGGGGGGGACCCTAGAACACAGACTGTCAGATCTGGGAAGGGTCTTACAACTAAAGATGTCAGAACTAGGAGGGACATAAGAACAGAGAATGTTAGAACTTGGGAGGGAGTTTAGAACATAGAATGTCAATGCTAAGAGAGATCTTAGAATAGAGGTTGTCAGAGTTGGAAGGGACCTTAGAACAAAAAAATATCAGAAGTAGGAGTGACATAAGAACAGAGAATGTCACAGCTAGAGGTAACTTAAGATTATCTATTTCAACCTCAGGTGACACACGGGGAAACTGAGGACCGGAATAGAGCCATATATTGAGAGCTTAGGATCGTAGATTTTTATATGAGACCATCTAGTCCACCCTACCTCCTTCCTTTTCTTAAATGAGGAAACATTGTTGTTGTTGAATCATTTAAATTATGTCACATCTCTTTGTGACCCCATTTGTGATTTTCTTGGCGAAGATACTAAAGTGATTTGCCATTTCTGTCTCCAGCTCATTTTACAGATGAGGAAATTGAGGCAAACAGGGTGAAGTGGCTTGCCCAGGGTCACACAGCTAGTCTGAGATCTGATTTCAACTCAGATCTCACTGACTCCAGTCTCAGTGCTCTATCTACTGTAGCACTTAGCTGCGCCAACAAAAATTTTTTTAAAAAACTGAGGCAAACAAGGTTAAGTGACTTACCCAGGGTCACACAGCTAGGAAATGTGTGAGGCCAGGAGATTTGAACTCAGGAAGATGAGTCTTTCTGACTCCAGGCCTGGCACTCTATCCACTGTACTACCTAGCTGCCAGGAAATATGAACAGCCCAAGTGACATACTCAAAGACATGCAGGTAATAAGTGGCCAAGCTGAGATCTAAACCCTGTCCCATACTGCCTACAAATCCAGTGTTCTTTCTACAGCACAACTGAAGAAGTGACTAGGCAAATGTTACACAGAAAGTTAATGGATGAGCCTGGGCTAGAAGCCAGGTCTGTGGCTCTGGTCCCTCAGTTTCTAGGGCCTTTCCATGCTACTTCCATTCCTGTTAGAGCAAATTCAAGGGAATTGTCTCTTCTTCGATTGGATTCTATCCAAGAACATGTGGTATTCCCAACAGTGCTTAAAGACCGTTGTAAATAGAGGTATTTGTTGAAAGGGGCTTCAGATTGGGACAGGAAGTATGAGGTGAGAAGCTCCTCTCAATTTCCCGTTTCTGATGAGCTGGGCTCATAGACACCTCTATCTTGGTTCTTTTTTTTTCTTGAGGATAGGAGGGACGTGCCTCCAGTTTGAATGATATTGCTGTTTTCTCTCAATTCCCTTTCAGGAGTTTTTCTATGATATAAAACATAGTGATCTGGCCAAGAAGTCACTGGACATCTCTGTCTGGGATTATGACATTGGCAAATCCAATGATTATATTGGTGAGTATAGGCATTGCCACCTCAACTGAGTCGGGGAGACCTGGGGCTTTTGTGGGCAACTTTATTCTTTCTTATCCAGCTGAGAAAGGGGCAAGGGGGAAGAACTAGGTACAAGGGCTCCTCATTCTGGGGTACCTGATTGACAATGCTTAAAATGAGCCTAGCAGCTAATTGTAGTAGGCTAAGTGAGTTTGTACTCATTCATTCACTTACTTACTCACTGATCAAGATAGCTCAGCTCTAGGCAAGGAGTTCTAAAATGGAGTAGATGAACTCCACCAAAGGACTTAGATTGGCAAGAAGATGCAGATTTGTTCTCCTGGACCCTGGAGCCCCTTCCCACCATGGCCACTGATCTCCCCAACAGCTTAGCTCATGGTGACTGGGTTTGTTCCAAGGCAGACTTTAGCAAGAATGATGAAATGTCCTATCCCACCTTGCCTAGCCTCTGCTAGCCTCTCATCAGCCCTTATAACAAGCAGCTTAGCCCTCATAGGAACCCCCTTCTCCGCAGGCTTCTATTCTGAAGACCCTATTGTTGAAACAGTGAACATATCCTACACCAACTCATGAACCCTAACAACTACCCTAACAGCCACATACAGCTTATGAATAATTTACTTCACACTACTCAACCAACCACGATTCACCCCCCTACCTACAATCAATGAAAATCACCCGAATCTCAAACCACATCATCTCTCCTTGGTGACCTGGTTTTCCCTTCTCCCTTACTCTCTGAAGGAGAATGAGGAGAGGTTCTGCTGGACATGTGGAAAGAAAAACTTCCCAATAAGACTTTAGAAGGTTGAACCTGGAATCAGGTGGAGCTGGATTTAAATCCTGACTCTGACATGCATTAGCTATATGACTATGGGTTGGGCATTTGCCCTTTCTCAGTCTCAGTTGCCTAATTTGTGAAATAGTGACAGCAGTGCCTATCACACTGGTTTGTAGCAAGGATTATGTGTGACGAGGAGTCCAAGATCATAGGAGCATTTTTACATATATATATATATATATATATATATATATATATATATACACACATACATATATATACATATATATACATATATGTACATATATATGTATGTGTATATGTATGTATATATACATATATATACATATATATGTATGTGTATATGTATGTATATGTACATATAAATATAGATATATACATACATATATACACATACACACATACATGTATATATAGTATGTGTGTATATTTGTGTGTACATATACATATGTATGTATATCTTTGTAAACTTTAAAGGATGTCTGCTGTTACTGATAGCATTTGTATAACTTTAAGGTTTGCAAAGCATTTTACAGATATCTCATTTGACCTTTATAACAATGCTGGGAAGAAGGTACTGTTATGATCCTTGTTTTATAGATGAGGAAACTGAGGCAGACACAGGTTATATGATTTGATCAGGGTCACACAGCTAGCAAGTATCTGAGGCAGGATTTGGACTTGGGTCTGCCTCACTCTATGGCCAGTGCTCTAACCACTGAGATTACTACCACTACTACCCTGGAATCATAGATTTAGAGTTGGAAGGGTCCTTAGAGGTCATCTAGTCCTTCTTCTTCATTTTACAGAAGAGGAAACTGAGGCAGACAGAGATTTAAGTGCCTTACCCAAGGTCCCACTGAGCACTTTGATGTGCCTAGCCTTATTCAGGGATAAAACCCATGAAATTCTTAGCAAATACATATTTTTAACCAGATCTTGTAATTCATTGATTCAGAGAGCTCTTGGTGAGGGAACACCCTTTAGCCAATGCAGATAAACACTTGCCCTGCCACATATAATCTCTGGGAGCTGCCTGGGGCTTCTCGGAGGGTTAGTGACTTACCCAAGGTGGAGCAGCCAGCTTGTATTAGAGCACCTTGAACCCAGGTCCTGTTGACCCGGAGGCCAGCTCTCTTTACCCCACAATACCATGCTGCCTCAAATTATATAAGGTGAAATAACTCTAATGCCCAACTGGGTGGCCTAGACCACAAGTACCATGTTAGCTCAGTATGGGGAGAGACCAGTGAGGATGGGAGTGTTTAGTTAAGGTTTCAGTCAGCAAATGTTAGGGGCAGCAAGGTGGCGCAGTGGATAGAGCACCGGCCTTGGAGTCAGGAGGACCTGAGTTCAAATCCAGTCTTAGACGAGACACTTGACACTTACTAGCTGTGTGACCCTGGGCAAGTCAGTTAACCCCAATTGTCTCACAACAACAACAATAAAAAAGAAAGGAAAAAACAATAAAAATTTGACAAACAAAAAAAAAAAGAAAGCAAATTCTAGTCTTTGAAGAGATAGCTAGCTGGTGTATGGATAAAGAGAACACTGGGCCTGCAGTCAGAAAGAGCTGAATTCAAATCCAGCCTCAAACACTTCCTAGCTGTGTGACCCTGGGCAAATCAATTTGTCAGCCTCATTTTTCTCATCTGTAAAGTAATAGCAATCCAAGGTTGTTATGAGGCTCAAAAGAGATGATAATTCTAAAGTACTTAGCACAGTGCCTGGTACATAGTAAGCACTATGTAAATGTCATTTACTTATTGATTTTTTCTGATTAAAACATATTTACAAACTGACTGTGTGACCTTAGGCAAGCCACTTATGCTATGTCTGCCTCAGTTTCCTAATCTGTAAAATGTGATAGCACCAAGCTCCCAGGGTTGTTGTGAAGATAAAATAAGATAATACTTATAAAGTGCTTTGCAAACCTTAAAGCTATATAGGATCAAAAGAGATAATAATTGGAAAGCACTTAGCACAGTGCCTGGCACATAGTATGAGCTATATAAATGCCATTTATTTATGTACTTATTTATTTCTTGTTAAAACACATTTAGACACTAGCTGTGTGACTTTATGCAAGTCACTTAATCTGTCTGCCTCAGTTTCCTAATCTGTAAAATGAGAATAATAATAGCACCTATCTCCCCAAGGTTGTTGTGAGGAGCAAATGAAAATAACATGTATAAAGCGATTAGCAGAGTGCATAGTAGGTGCTTAATAAATGTGTGTGTGTGGGAAGATATTCCAGGTGAGGAAAGTAGAGGAATTAATCATAATATCATCACATTGAATGTCACATTTCTGTTGTGGTATAAGCCTTACAGGGCACTTGCTTCACCACCATTCTGGCAATGCCACAGTGGTGGCACATTGGGTCATAGGGACAGTGAGCAGAGAGCACTGGCCAGAGGGGAAGGGATGCATGCTGGGATGTAGCATCCTTGAGGGGAGGCATGATGCCTCAATTGTAGAGCTCTCTGGAGACACCTAGGAGAGGGCCTGCGGGACAATGAAAAGATCAATGGATTTGGGAGTCTGGGGGGTAGAGTTCAAATCTCAGTTCTGTCATTTGCTGGGTAGCCACTTCTGCCCCTAGGTCCTCGGCTTCCTTCAAGATCCAGCTCAGGGGCAGCTAGGTGGTGCAGTGGATAGAACACCAGCCCTGGAGTCAGGAGGACCGGAGTTCAAATCTGGTCTCAGACACATAACACTTACTAGCTGTGTGACCTTGGGCAAGTCACTTAACCCCATTGCCTAGCCCCCCCAAAAAAAATTTTAAAAAAAGATTCAGCTCAAATTTCACCTTTTCAGCCCCCCTGCTCCTAGTGCATTCTGTCTGAGATTGCCTTTAATTTACCCTGTCTGTGTCTCGTATACATGTAGCTGTTTGCTTGAGATCTCTCCCATAGATGTGATCTCTTTGATGTCCACGGGCCATGTTTTTGACTTTCTCTGAATCCCCAGTGCTTTTGTAAACTGAGAGGTTCAAAGAGATGGCTTCCAAGGTTGCTTCTAGTTCCAGATCGATGATCTAATACTCTGCAGTTCTTATTCTGCACACATTAGGCATATAATAAATAATATAATGGGAAAAGTCTTTGAGTCTTGCAGAGTCTGGAGTCTAATTTGAGATGACAGGGTCAGAGATTTAGAGCTGGAAGGCATGCTGAAAGCCATCTAATCCAACCACCTCATTTTACAGATAAGGAAACTGAGGCCTAGAGAAGCTATATGACTTGTCCAAGTTCACACAAGTAGAAAGAATAAGATGCCAGATTTAAACCCAAGCCTTCTGGTTCTAGTGCTCTCTAAATCTGGAAAGCTGATGTCTGCCTCCTCCAAAGGGGAGAAACAAGACTTACTGTGTGTGCGAGTTTAAATGAGATCAAGGCAATTCACATCTAAAGTTTTTGAACACCTAAGTCTGCTAGATTCTGTGTGTGTGTGTGTGTGTGTGTGTGTGTATGTGTGTGTGTGATCTTTTTCTGCCCAAACCCTCACCATTAGAGGCCTGGGTTCAAACCCTAGCACTAACACTTAGTAGGTGATTAACCATGGGCAAATCATTTGACCTCTCTGAGCCTCAGTCTCCTCATCTGTAAAATGGGGAGATATATACTCTCTCACAGTGTTGGAAACATGGAAAGTACTTAAAATACTTTAAAGCCTTAAAGTGCTTTGGAAATATGAATTATTATTCATTGTCATTGGTGTTATAAGGTTGGATAGTTAGTATGAGATGTTTATAAAAGGTCTTGAATACCAGGGATAGGAATTTGGAACTAATGAAATAGGGAAATAGGGAGCAACTGTAGGTTCTTGAGCCAGACAGCTCTGAGCTGAGAAAGTAAGATCCTTAGAAAGTAGGCTGTGTGACTTCCTGGGATGGGGATGCCATCAACTAGCCAGAATCTTTCTTCTCTGTGCCAAGGAAAAAAGAAGTCCTTGGTTCTGAACGAGACAAATTCTTTCCCTGTGGCTAAGTGATTCCTCTCTCCCTGACCATTCCCGTGTTTCCTTGCTCCAGGTGGCTGCCAGCTGGGTATCACCGCCAAAGGAGAGCGCTTGAAACACTGGTACGAGTGTTTAAAAAACAAGGACAAGAAGATTGAACGTTGGCATAACCTACAGAATGAGAACCATGTCTCGAGCGATTAAAGCAGGGGCCACAAGCCTCTCCCCACCCCCTGTGCATTCCTCCACTTTGCCCTCTGTCCCCCTCCCCCCTGCCCATCCCTCCACTTTGCCCTCTGTCCCCCAGTCCCCCCAAGTCCTCCTGTCCATCCCTCCACTTTGCCCTCTGTCCCCCAGTCCCCCCAAGTCCTCCTGCGCATTCCTCCACTTTGCCCTCTGTCCCCCTCCCCCCGCCCATCCCTCCACTTTGCCCTCTGTCCCCCAGTCCCCCCAAGTCCTCCTGTCCATCCCTCCACTTTGCCCTCTGTCCCCCTCCCCCCGCCCATCCCTCCACTTTGCCCTCTGTCCCCCAGTCCCCCCCAGTCCTCCTGTCCATCCCTCCACTTTGCCCTCTGTCCCCCTCCCCCCCGCCCATCCCTCCACTTTGCCCTCTGTCTCCCAGCTCCCCCTCCCCAAACTGGCCACCGAAACTCCCCACCACAGACCTGTGGTCTGAACTGGGTGCACACGCCTGGCTGAGCCAGTCTGTCTGGGCTCCCTCTGCTGTGGATGCAGACTCCAGATGGGAGTCTGGCCTTCTTTTTCCTTACCTGCACCAACCTCTGAGGTCTCTTCCTCGCCTCTTAAATAGGAGGGGACACTTACCCCCCTCTCACTTTCTCTTTCTCTCGCTTCTCTCTCTTCCATCTTCTTTCTTCCCCTCTTTTCTTTCCTTGCCCTTTCTTCTCCCTCCTTTCTCTCCGTATCTTTTCCTCTATCTTCTCTCTCCCACTTTCCCTCTCTACCTGTCTTCTCCTCCTCTCTTTCTCTCCCTTTATCTCTTTCTCCCTCCTTCCCTCTTGCTTTTGTTCTATCTCTCTCTCTCCATACCTTTCCCTATCTTTTCCTCTTTGTTTTTTCTTTTCACTTTCTCCTTCACTCTCTCCCCTTCTCTCTTCTCTTCTTTATCATTCTCTCTCTGTTGCTGTCTCTCTGTCTCTTTCTTTCCACCTCTGTCTCTTCATCTTTCTCTCTCTCTTTCTTTTTCTCTCCCTCTTGTCCCTGCTTCACAAAATTTCCTCTTCCCTGCCCCCCTGTAATCTCAAAGCTAACAACTTGGGCTAGTGTCCCCTCCATGGGCTCCACACCTACTGACTATGAATTAGTGCTCCCTAAACTTCTAGCTTCCCTGGGTCAGAAATTAGGAACTTAACTTGGCTACTAGAACAGGGGAGAGTTCTGGGAGGGGGAGGGATGCTGAAGGGAGTTAATGAGGGTTATATCAGCTCTATTAGTATAAATTTATCTACAAATCATATTGGATAAGTAGGGGGGAAAGGTTCTCCATTATAGAGGGCTATACCCATATGATGTCTTCTTGTGGTATACACAGTCACACACCTAACTTTATGTTATAGTTTTAGAATATGATAAATCTTGGCGTGCGTCCGCTCAATAAGCAACATGCTAAAAAAAATTAGGTGAAGGTGAGGGTTTGGGCAGAAGAAAAACAATCTCACACACACGCATGCACATATACACACACAAGAGTCAAGCTGACTTAGGTGTTCAAAATCTTTAGATGTGAGTTACCTTGATCTCATTGAAACTCACATACACACTAAGAGTACTGTTTACCCCTTTGAAGAGGCAGGGGAGGCAGAAATCTGCATTCAAGAGAGGAGAGACCAGACCTTAGTAACTTTCCTCGATATGCCTCCTCTGTCTCCTCCGCACCCCACCTCTTCCCTTCTCCCTCTCCAAGAGGGATAAAGTCAAAGATGCTCTCCTTAAAAGGTATTCAGCGTGGGTCTCACCTCACCCCATCTCTCTGTCTCTGCCAAATCAACACAAACAATACCAATGAATTCAGTCTAAGAAAAGTGGAGCTTCTATAGTTCGGTGTCCTATTGCACATGCCAAGCAAACATTTTCTTCCTAGCTTCAGGAAAGGGCCTGGTGGGTCTCTTCTGGGTCCTCAAATCTCCCCATCTCTCTACTAAGTCTGGAGGAGCAGTTGAAGCTTGAGAGAAGCCAGCTTTCTCTGACTGTGTGCCCACTGCTGAGGGGTGGGATGACAAGAACTGGGGTATAGAGGTCTTTAGGGCTGCTAGTCCATTGGACATGCTCCCCACTCTCCCTTCCTCCAGATAGCCAATCAGTGAGTGACCTCCCCTTCCCATCTCCAAGTCTCTAACATGGGGACAAATGAATGGTCCTGCTTATTTTCTCTTGTCTTGTTTACAAGGGCTGCTGGGAGGAACACACAGAGCTCTCAATGTGGGAATGGTTTGGTGTCATAGGATGTACCAATGCCTTCTTCTCGTGTTATTACCAGCATTGTGATGAATGAACCTTTCTGCCTCTCCCTCTCTTTAGAGTAGTGATAGCAGAAATACAGCCTTGGAGTTTGGGAGAGGACAAGATTGAATGCTTGGGTTCAGAGAGGAGATAGGAGAGTAGGTTCCTCCCAATTTGGGGCATGTCTTCCAATCCAGTGGTCATCCCATTATGCTTCTCCCACCTGGAGACCCTTTCTAGAAAGACTTACCTAGCTCATCATCTTCACTCCTTCTGTGATTGGCACCTGTATGAGAAACTCATTTCTTGCCAGAGACCCACTGCCATACATCTCCATTTTTCTGTGAATGTACAGGGCAGGCCACAATTCAGCAAGCTGGCTGGTAGATTCCTGTCACTGTTGTTTTTCTTCTGGGCACACTCCTCCTATACGACACCATGACCTGTGGTTCCTATTCCCTGGTTCTCCTCTAGAAGAAAGCATGCCTTACCTAGGGGTGGCAGCAGCACACACACTCCCATCTGAGCTGGCATTGGTCTTCTAGTTAGCATGTGGTGATCTCCCAGCACACCGGCTGGGTGATAAGCTCTTTCCAGCAGATGTAATCCCCTGGCATAGAATCCTAGCATCTTCCATTGCATGAACACTGGGTCATATCATCTATTTGTGATAATGTATCTAAAATAAAGTAGGATTCTCCAGGAAACAGTGATTTGGTTTTTTGTCTCTTACTTGGGTAATGTGGGAGTTGGGTTAAATGGTCTCTAAGGCTCCCCCAGCTCTGACATTCCCTGTTCTAAGCACCCCCCCAGCCCTGATAGTCCCTGTTCTAAGGTTCTTCCAAGTCAGACATTTTAATAATCTGAGATTCCATGAGGCAGTATGATATAGTGGAAAACGCATTGGATGGGTCATCAGGAAATCCCAGTCTGAGCTTACCCTGGACAAGTTACTTCTCCTTTCTAGGACTTGGCTCTTTCCTTGGTAAACTAATCAGTTGGGACATGACAAGCCCTAAATCCCTCCAAGCTATAACCTTGGGATCCTATAGGTACTGCCTCTCATATACAAGAATGACACTCCTTATCTGCCATTATTACAAAGTACAGTGGGAGGATCATCTCCAAAAGCCTTCCTCCACCTCTGCTTGTGACCAATGGTGTACATTTCTGAGGGGGCTAGTTGGGTAAGGGTCTCACTATGTGACTGTGGACCCAAGGAAAAAGATTAGCTGGCACGGGCATGGTGCCAACAATTGCGACTTCATCAACCTGTTCCTTTACATCGATCAGTTAGCAGCATTTCCTGATCACCTACTATGCAGAGGATCTGCTAATCAAGGTTATTAGGGGCGATAAGATAAAAACAGCACAGAAGTGAACTGAAATACAGTATGCTTGAATAAGCCAAGGAAGATATGAACTAGATACCCTTAAAGGCCCTTTTCAATTCTAGGAATCCATGAAGAATGAGGTTTAGGAAGATTTTACATTATTTCTCAAGGTATTACATATTTCTCAAGGTATCTCTGAAGAACTTTGGAATAGATTGTGAGATATGGGAGATACTGGCAAAAAACTGCCCAGTATGGTATGCCTGCTTCAAAGAAGGTGCTGTGCTCTGTGAGTGAAGCAGAATTGTGGTAGCTCAAAGGAAACGTGAGATGCACAGATTTAGAGACATCACCACTCCAAATGTTCATGTGGACTATTTGAACTTGCAACATATGGTAGAGCATTCCCAGCTCACATTGGTGTGATCAGCCACAGTCGGACACACTGCACCTTGACCTTAATGTAATGATGCATTTTGGTCCTCTTCTAGAATGAAGATAACAACTAAACAGCCACCAGGATTTCTAAGCTCTATTTGTTAACAATCACAACTTAACTTTGTCTTAGTTTCCACACTTCTAGTCAGTCCCAAACAACTCCACGATGTTTGGGACAGTTTTTCTTTTCTATTTTTGTATCCTTAGCACCTACATATCAGGGGCTACCTACCCTTCTTCCTGAGTAGGTTCCAGACAATGAAAAATGACCTCCCTCACCCCTACCCCAAGACAAGATTTTGTAGAGAGGTATGCAGAGTTTGACCCTACCCCTGTCTTCTCACAGGGTGAAAAATGTACCCTGGAGAGCCATTCCACTTAAGGATTGCTTACCACATGCTGAACCACAGGCAAGTGGGAGAGGGGGTGCTGGGTCACTGTGCCCTCTGCCTCCTGTCCCACTAAAGAGTTCCTCTCAGCTCTGGACATATGCACATAGACTGCAGATAAGTTCTGGGGAAGCCTGATCACCTCAAAGAAGGATTGAGATCTTTTCCTCAGACTCTTTGGCTTTCAGGCAGTCCTTTCTTAGTTAAGTCTGGGCCATTGCCAGTCATCCTGACTTATGGCTTGCCACTGGACTCCAATGACTGGAGGAGATAGTGCTGATGACTTTGCACAGCTCTGCCTCATTAAAACCCAATTCACTTGCAAGTCAAGACATCACCCTCCTGATGTCATTGGCCCTCTTAGAGAACAAAGAAGGAACAACAGCAATCTTAGTTAAGTGCTCATTGATTGGCTGATTGATTGATTGATTTACTCTCCCTGCCCTGGAGCTTTGTGGAAAATTCCATAAAGCTTAGGTCTTGGTTCATGTCTATGGTGTCCTCCAAATGGTGAAATAGAAAGGCACTCATATACAATGGAGATCAGGTATAGGACAGCTATTTATCTCCTTTACAAACAGGAAATATGGAACACACATGACCCACAAGAACACATTGACAGGAAAATGTAAACCGAATCAGACACAAAACTCATGTAACCTTGGTCTTCAGCTCAGTCTGCACAGGACAAAAGAAGCTCTACAATCATCCTGCAAACTCTATTTGTAGCAGAGAGGCTGAGAGCAGATGGGACCAAATGTGTTGGTATGGAACAACTCAGGAGATAACTGGATGGTTCTGAGAACCCTAGCCACACTGAGGTCAATGTAAGGTTTTCCAAGGTTGTACCCCTCACTCCTACTTGGTTTTCTCAGTAGTGCTTAGTGAGGCAAACCTCAGGAAGTTCCTCAAACCAAAAAGCCCTTTCCTTCTCTTTCCTTCTCCATCTACCAAATGGCAAGAGGTGTGGAAAATGAAGAATCTATACTACTTCAACAAACACATAAGCCTTACTGCTCAAAAGCTTTCCACAGCCTGTCTCCTATGTGTTTTTGTGTCTAAATGAGTTGAAGGAGAGGCCAAGAAGGAGGATTTTACTTTACTTATATGAGAGAAAGAAGAGGGGAATAATTAAATAACTAGATAGAAGAAAAAATTAAATAAAACTCTAAAAGAAAAGAGTGACAAATGGGATGGGAGTCTTAAGGGTGAGGGGAATAGAGATTTGGGGAATATGACTAACAAAACAGATCAAGCAAACATATCCAAAGAGACAAAATATTGTCTTTATAGAGGAAGACGATCAAAATCACACATTTATTCCAATAGATGTAGAAAAGGCTCTTGCAAAGTACAATACTAATTCATACAAAAAACAAAAACCTACAAAGTATAGACATAGAAGTGCCTTTTAATATCATAAAAAATATCTATCTAAAATCAAAAGCAAGAATCATATGCAATGAGGACACACTAGAAGTTTCCCAATAAATAGGAGAGTAAAGCAAGAATGCTCACTCTCCCTACTATTGCGTAGTTCTGGAAATGTCAGTGAAAACAATAAAACAAGAGAAGGAAGTTAAATATGTAAAGATAGGAAAAGAGGAGATAAATTTATCTCTATTTGATGATGACATGCTAGTTTACTTTTTAAAAAATCCTGTAATATATAATATATATTGTAATATATACTATATATAATTATATATACAATAAAAATTACATACATATATAAATATACTATAATGTATAATATATAAAAAAGTAGAGAGAGAACTAAATCAAATTTATAAGAATACAAATCATTCCCCTATTGATAAATGGTCAAAGGATATGAACAGGCAGTTCTCAGATGAAGAAATTAATGCCATCTATAGTCTTTATGAAAAAATGCTCTAAATCATTATTGATTAGAGAACTGCAAATCAAAACAACTCTGAGGTACTATATCACACCTATCAGATTGGCCAACATGACAAAACAGGAAAATGATAAATGTTGGAGAAGATGTGGGAAAATTGGAACACTAATGCATTGTTGGTGGAGTTGTGAAATGATCCAACCATTTTGGAGAACAATTTGGAACTATCCCCAAAAGCCTATAAATATGTGCATACCCTTTGACCCAGCAATAGCACTTCTAGGGCTATATCCCAAAGAGATCATTCAAATGTGAAAAGGACTAACATGGACAAAAATATTCATAGCAGCTCTTTTTGTGGTGGCAAAGAATTGGAAATTGAGAGGATGCCCATCCATTGGGGAATGGCTGAACAAGTTGTGGTATATGAATGTAATGGAATACTATTGTGCTATAAGAAATGATGATGAGTAAGAGGACTTCAGAAAAACCCGGAAAGACTTGTATGGACTGATGCTGAGTGAAGTGAGCAGAATCAGGAGAACATTGAACACAGTAACAGCAACATTGTGCAATGACTAGTAATGATAGGCTTAACCCTTCTCATCAATACAAGGATCTAAGACATCTCCAAAGGCCTCTTGATGACAAATGCTATGCACAAAGAAGAAAGAACTATGGAGTTTGAATGCAGATCTAAGTATACTATTTGCTATTTTTTTTCCCTTCTGTTGTGTTTTATATTTCTTCTTTCTAGTGGTTCTTTCTATTGGTTATAATTCTTACAACATCACTAATGTGAAAATATGTTTAATAGGAATGTATATGTATAGCCTATATCAGATTGTGCGCTGTCTTGGGGAGGAAGGTGGGGAGGGAGGTGGAAAAAATTTAAAACTCAAAAGCTTATGGAAGTGATTGTTGATAATTCAAAGTAAATTAATTAAAAACAAAACAAAACAAAAAGAATAACAATTTGCATGTTTGCAAATTTGACACCTCTCTTTAACCAAAGACTTTCTCCTCTACCTTCTTGCTCCTGGCCTTTCAGTCACTGACCATTTCCTTTGTCCCTCTCCCAGGTGGAAGACCAGGAAAATAAAAGATAACAACTCTGCACCCATTTTTGCAACCTGAGAGATGGTGGTTCCCAACTCACCAGCGTAAAGGGATCTCAAAGGCCCTGACTTGGGTGTCTGAGATCCAAGGAGGTTGTGAATAAGCAAAGACCCAGAATGAGTGCTTGAGGACTCTCCTGGTATTTTAGGGTCTAGAATAGAACTAGGGTGTGGGCCACAATGTAGCATAGAGATGTTGCCTTAAGTTCAGAAGACCTAGACTCAGGTACCACCTCTGAGATATATGTGCGCCTGGGGGAGAGATTGAACCTCTCAATGCTCCCAGACAACTCTAAAGCCCCAAGCTGGAGAGCAGATGCTAATCCAATCATCACTGGAATTTCCCCACACCAGTGAAAATGCAGGTTCAGCCTCAAATCAAATCAAGCTAAGTCTGGAAGCTACATCAAGGCCAGTCTGATAATTCAGGTTTGAGATGGGGAGGGGAGAAAACTGACTTAGGAAAGGTAAGGATGGCAGTGGAACTCATACTTGTTCAGCTATTTTTCAGTCATTTCCCACTCTTCATGACTCCATTTGGAGTCTTGTTGGTAAAGATACTGGACTAGTTTTCCATTTCCTTCTCCAGCTCATTTTACAGATGAGGAAACTGAGGCAAGCAGGGTTAAGTGACTTGCCCAGAGTCAAACAGCTAGGAAGTGTCTGAGACCAGATTAGAACTCAGGTAGATGAGTCTTTCTGACTTCAGGCCCAGCTCTATCTATTGCACTACCTAGCTGCTCCAGAACTCATACATTGCCCACCAAACCTAAACTTCCTCCTCTGTCCCCGTCTTCACTAATCAAAGTAAGTTCCTGCTCACTCCTTTGTCCCTGAGGAAGTTGCTTTACTTTTCTGTTTCAAGCCTAGAAGGGTTCAGGAGAAAGGCCATGAGGCTGGCCACTCCTTTCTCCTCTGAGAGAAAGAATACTGGATTAGAATTACCTCAAACTGCTCCCCTTTAAATATTACTAAATTATTAAAATTACTAAGTTAGTAAAATGATTACTAAATTAATAAATATTAAAGAAATCTAGGGGCAAGATTTTTAGATTTAAAAGCAAAAAAAAATGCTACTAACTTCCCTGGTTCCTATCCATTAAAAGGGAAAGAGCACCCCAAGTTTATATCTACTGGCTTGGCACCCTTCCATCAAATGTTAGTTACACAAAAGATGATCAGAATTACAGAATAGCTAATACATCTGCTTATGGTAAACAGCAAACAGAAATCAGAAAAGAAATACAGATTTATATATGCCAGAAAATATACACAACAAATAAGCTCTTACACTGGGAACAAGATCTTTAAGAAAGCACCCAACCTCAAATAAAGGGAAATTTCCCAAAGGGTAGGGAGGCAAGCTCAAAATCTGGGACATACGGAGGAGCTAGTTTCCTCTACACACTTGTCACTTGCAAAGTCTTTTCGCTTTCTCAATGGGTCTCTACTCAGAGAGAGTCTGGAACTCCATGTGTCTCTCTTGAAGAAAGAAGGAAGAATGTGTGCCTTCTCATGCCAACACCACCCCTCCATAGTCATACAGGGTCACACTGGCATTTTCTTGCCCAATCCAAAAATGTGTTCCAGAGGCAGCAAAAATCGCTAAACCCATGGTGGTGGTGATTGTAGGGTCCTAAGCATCGCACATAAAGCAGGATGCATTCTGCCTGTAGCTATGGCTCATTCATGAGGTTCAAGACCTTGCTGCCTTCCGTGGTCTGCTCCACCAGAAACCATAAGATAAGCACATTTGCATTAGAGAGGGTGTCTGCTCTTGATAAGGAAGCAGCTGGAGGGTGAAAGGGACTCCCTGGGTACTTGTTCCTCTGGGTTCCAGCAATGAGCTGGGGAAGTCAGGTGGAGAGATGCCCAGGCTGGGAGTAGAGACACCTGAATTCTAGTCCCACTTTTCCCACTGACTTACTCAAGACATTGACCTTCCCTGGGGCTCAGTTGCTATGTCTATCAAATGAGGATAGTAAAAGCTCAACAGGACCCAGAAATGTGACTGTGAAAATAAAAGGCTATAGAATTTTCTAATGAAGCCAAAGTCACTAAGAGGTCCTGGGAAGTGACCACCCCAGGGCCCACTGTGAGAGTTGTACCCAGTGGGAGTACACTGTTCAGTTCTGGGGGGAAAAACACTCGGTGAGTGTGTGTGTCTTTCTTCTGCACTAGTTCTCAGGACTCCACTGCTCAAATTCTGTCAGAAATGGTCTTCCTTGGGGTGGACTAAAAAGGGATGTGAGAGGGGGTGTAACTGTGCTGGGCTCTAGTTTAGAGTAACAGATGTGGAATCAAGGAGGACACCTTTGAACTCTTCCAAATCCCAAAGACCATGGGAAGTGCCAGTCTTAGGGAAGCCTGTGATGGTCAGGGCACAGCTGGAACATTCAGGTCAGATCAGGAGTAGACTTCCAGATTCCAACTTCAGATGACCATGAGTCTGGGGGTGGAGGAGCAGGAGGGGTGCTGTGCAGAGGCAAAGGCTGTCTGAGTGCATAGGGGGCCTTCCTGGGAGTATCTCTCTCTCTCTCTCTCTCTCTCTCTCTCTCTCTCTCTCTCTCACACACACACACACACACACACACACACACACACACACACACAGAAAAAGCTCTCACTCACCAGCACATTCCATGGCTGCACCCAGGTCCCATCCCAGTTTTGAAAGCATGGGGCAGATGACCATGGGTGAACTCCTTGTGCCAGGTTGTCCCAGTGCCATCGACTTCGACCACCTACATCACCGGTTGGGTCAGCTGGGTCCAGGATCACTGGCCTAAAAGGGAGGGCAGAGAGTTGAGGCTAATGAAGAGATTCCTCCCAGATCACCAAGCCAAGAAGACATTTGCTCCAGACCTTTCCCTCTCTAGATGTGCCTGGCACATAGTAGGAGCTTAATTAATGTTTAGTGACTGACTGATGTGCATCAGGATGAGCTGGGCCCCTACCATGATGAATGAATGGGCAGAAGAATAACCAAAAATGGGAATGTTTCCCTGGTTTTTCTAACACAGCTGTCCCCTCCATCCTCCACCCACTATACACATTTATATTCAAAAGCTGAGACTATTACAGGGATAAGGACTGAACCTGTGATTTCAATGGAATAGGGAACTCCCAGGTGAGAAAATTCCCTCTACCAATGTAGGGCAGCACCACCTCTGAGACTTAAGAGTCTTAAGACAGGAGTTCTTAACATTCTCTGGGTCCTTGACTCCTCTGGGAGCCTGGTGAAGAATTATAGACCCCTTCTCAGAAGAATGCTTTTAAATGTATAAAATATTCTATTGAATTACAGTTATCAAAACTACAGGGTGTCCCAAAAACCTTAGTGCAGTTTTAAGAATAGCTTGAAATGCATTCAAAACACACACACACACACAAGTGCCCAGTCCCCAGCTTAAGAACCCTGGTCTTAAGAGCTGCCTGCAGCACTGACCTGCTCAGCAGCCCACAGCCAGGATGTGTGAAAGGCAGGACTGGGGTGGGGGAGGGGAGGTCTGGTTCTCTATCTACTAAGTCACACTGCCTCTCTTAGACTATTATAATCATATTAATAGCTGACTGCTCCATAGCTCAATATAGTTAGTTACAGAGCCATAGCATGTAGCATCATATCTAATCTTAACAACAAGCCCTCTGATGTAGGGAAGCCAAGGCCCAGGAAGGGAGGAAATAGTGGAGCTGGGACTAAATCCCAGGGGGTCCCTATAACTAAAACAGGAAGACTGAGGTTTTTGTCACCAAGGAGTAGAAAACTATATGGCAGTGTGGTCAGTCCTTCAGCAATGATAGAAACAGCTGAACTTAGCACTGAATTAAGATGGGAGAAGGAGCTTGGCTCTCAGAAAGGCCTGGGTTTGAGTTGAGCTTCAGATCCAGAGTGTGAGCCAACCTTTTTAGGTCTCTGAGTCTCAGTAACCCTATATGTAAAATGAAGTGATTGGACTTGATAGCGTGTAAAGTGCCTTCTTCAGCCCTGCAACTGAACCCCAACCCTATCCTTTGCTGAAACATACCACACACCTTACTAGGGTCTCCCCTCTCCTGCCTGTTTCACGTTGCTTGTCCTAGACACAAACATGTCAAGTTACATCCCTCAGTCCTGGTCTCCTGACTCTGAGCCTGGCACTTTCTTTACTAGAGCAAAGTCTCTGAGGAACAATCTAAATTGGAAGACGAGAGTTCCAGAAAAAAAGCAAACAGCCCTGGGTATGCTAGAGACCGTTCCAATGGGCTCCTTGGAGTTAAATTGCCAATGTGGGCATTTATGCCTCAGAAATCGGCAAGAGCTACAAACCAGGGCTTGACTTACAGTTGTTTTTTAAATGGAAATTCAGGAGCCTGGAGCCATCAGCTTGGAAGCTTGGCTGACCCCTAGGGTGAGGGGCACCCTGCCTCTGGTACCTGTGTAATCTGCGATGATTTCATTATGAATGGCATAATTGATGGTCCAGTAGATCATGAGCTCTGGGTACTTCTGGATCAGGTACAGGACTGTGTGGAAGGCCCAAGCTATGGGAAAATTAGTTTCCTGGCTTCCATGCTCCCAGGCATAGACAATCAGGAGCTCCAGAGCATACTGAGGAGGGAGTGAGTCCATTTTCTCCTTGCACTGAGAAGAAAGAAGAAGCAATTGAAAACAATGGGAAATAGCAAGTGATGTGATAGAAGCTGGAGGAGACCACAGAAGTTATCTCTCCAGGAATCATGTTGACCCAGTGGTCACCCAGCACAGTGCCTGACACATAGTAAGAACTTAATAAATATTCATCAACTTGACTTGACTTGACCTCCCTGCAGCCTCTGCCCATTGCTCCCCATTCTACTTTGTGGAGCCAAGAAGAGCAGGTCTAGTCCATCTTGCATAAGATTGTCCTTTAATATAGGAAAGCAGTTGACATCACCTTGAGCTTTCTCTTCTAGGATCTAAGTGATCTCAATTATTTCAACTCTATGGTCTTGAAGACTTTCAGAATCCCAGATGCGCCCCCCCCCCAAAGCTGCTTCCATCTTATCAGTAACAATGTAAACAAATTGCTTGTGCAGAGTGCCAGAAAATTTGTAAAGGACTCTGCATATATTTCTCATTTGAGCCTCCCAAGAATAGAGTGAAGGAGGAAGTATAGGTATCATCATCCCAATTCTACAGGGACAGAAATTGGGACTCAGAGAGATTGTGAGTTGCCTAGGGTCACAGAGCCAACAAGTGTCAGAAGTGGTATTTGAACCTGGGGTTCCTGACTCCAAGCCCAGGACTTTACTACACCCCAAAGCCTCACTATCATTGACCTTCCTAAAATATGGCACCAAGAGGTACAAGAACAATGTTCCAAATGTGTTCTGACCTACATGCCCAGATCCAGCTTTCTCCTGTTTGAAGAGAAACCTAGCTGGAAATTTGCCTTAGCCAAGGTATTAGAGACAGTCCAGCCCAACTTAGCTCATTTATGAGGGATCAGGAAAGGCTTTCTGTAGAAGGTGAGATGTTGGCTGGAACTCGTAGAAGAGCAAAATTAAGAAGTCAGGAAAGGTAGGAGGGGTCCCAATGGCAAAGGACCAAAGAAAGGATTTTATATTTGCTCCTAGAAGTAATGGGAAATTGCTGAAGTTTATTGAATGGGCAGCAGGAGGGATGACAACTGGGTCAGAAGTTCACTTTAAGAACTCTTTGGCAGCTGAGACAAGGATGAGCTAGAGGCAAGGAGGCCAATGAGGAGACCATTGGAACTGCCCAGACAGTGGACAGGCTGGGCGATTACCACAGGAGAAAGGCAGTGGTGAGGCCATGGGGGCCCACAGATCCTACCTTGGGCAACCAAGAAGATGGTATTAGAAATACCAGTGTTTCACCAATTGGATCAGATTTTTGAGCTTGCTGCAGCGATGGCTGAGGAAGCGCTTCTGGAGCTCTGTGAAGCAGGTAGAGAATTCTCCTCCTTTCTGGGATTCACTTATGAGATCAATGTTATCTTGTGGGTCAGGTTTTCTTAAGTCTCTGGTCAGTTGGCCTGTTAGGGAAAATCAACTTGATTCAGCCAGTGTTTTTTCAACATCTGCTCTGTGCTGGGCTCATGCAAGGAAAGGAGCAGAAGTCAGGTTCTATCCAGAGAAATGTTCCATTGCTTGAAAAGCAATTTTTTTTTTACTTTAGACCTAAGAAGTAGGTAGTACAATGATCAATGAACCCATGTTACAGATGTGGAAATTGAGTGTCTGAGAGGTGAGTTGACTTACCCAGGGGTCACGCAGTTTCTAAGGCAGGATTTGAACCTTAGGCCCCAGATGCTTGGTCCTGCTCTGTTTCACACAAGGTAACTACTAGGTGAGGCATCTGTGATGAGTGCAGGGGAGGGAGAGATGAATTGGTCTGGGGCAGGGCTAGTAGTATCAGGGTAGACTTCACAGAAGAGGGAGGGCTCAAACTGGGTTGAGTTTAGAAAGGAGGAAAGCATTTTAGGCAGGGGGGAGAGCATGAATGAGGGCATATAAGTGGAGATGAGTGAGGCATGGCCACAAAGTACTGAGAAAACCAGCCTAGCTAGAGCAAAGGGCATCCTAGGCTGGAGGAGAGCTCATAGGACTTAGTGACAGGAAGAACTGGATTCCAGTCCCTCTACTACTGCTCCTTCAGGTGATTGTGGGCAAGTGATGACCTCTCTGAATCTCAGATCCCTCTTCTAAGAAAAAGGGGTTCATAATGCTCCTAGTAGCCACCTCACAGCTTGTGAGACACGGATGAGACAGAGTCTGTAAAACCCTTTGGAAACATTTATGTCTGATATAAAGTATCCACTATCACTCAGCTGGTCAATAAGCATGTGCTTAAGTTCTTGTTCTGGGCCAGGAACTGGGCTATGTGCTAGGGGCATAAAGAAAGGCAAAAACACTATCCTTGCCCTCAGGGAGCTTATATTCCAAAGGAAGAGACAACATGCAAACAACTAGTTACATGCATGATATATATATATATATATTATATATATATATATATATATATATATATATATATAATATAATATAAAATAAATAAAGGGAAGAGGCTTCAGAAATACCATCTCAAATACTCTACCCCATTTCCTTGCTCTACTCATTTTCCATGACCTACTGTATTTCACCACATAATTGTTGCAGATTTTGTGCCAAATTTTTTGCAAAAAAGTGGGGCGTGACCATTACGTAAGACTTAAAAAAACTGTGCCAGTATTACTTAAAATTATTTATTACTAAACTGTCTTTGGTGCAAGATTAGGATGCACAGAATACTCGTGAATATATGTTAAAATTGGGAAGATGCAAGTCTTACCATATCATGTGACTTATTCATGGCAGCTTCACCAGCCCGCCTGCTCGCCTTGCACACCTATGGCTCTTCATTGGGTTGAGTGACAATACTGTTAATACGGCAGTGCTCTAAACAAACCGTGCAAGTCAGTTTTAGGAAATGTACTGACAATGTGTGTGTGCCGAGAATTCTAGGCTCCTGGCTGGCAATGCGTGAGAGATAAATGTGTATCCATGCTCCACTGGTGAATATGTTGCTGCTGTTTACCTTTTAAGCAGCATGACAAACAGAATTATACTGTGTGATGATTATGCAATGAAAGGTTATAAACCAATTTTTAGACTGAAAAAACAAAAACAAAAGCCAGGGTGCAACAGTTATGCGATGAAATGCTGCAGTTCTCTCTCTAGCAGCTAGGTGGTGCAGTGAATAGTGTCATACCTGGAGTCAGGAAGACCTGAGTTCAAATCAGTAATTGCAGACTCATCTTGAGTTCACTTTCTCCCTGACCAGGGCTGACCTCCTCCAGTTGCCAACTAATCCTCAAACATATTTTCCTGGGATATCCTTCCTCTTCCCAATGGCTACAATCCTGGTCTCAGCCCCAACTTCTGCCCCCCCCAACCCTTAAATGTCACAGGGTTCTGGGTTGTGCTTCCACCTCATTCAACCCTACTCTGCTGTACCTGCACCCTAGCTGAGCCACCCTCCCTTCCACATGAGTTGCTCGGACCCCAAAATTGCTAATTGCCTCAGAGTCTTCATCATTAGATTCTGATCATTCTTGTTCTCTTCAAGGAAGCATAGAAACTCAGAAGAAACTGAGACACCCTCTAGCCCAATCTATTTCTGTCAAAGAATTCCTTTCTCAACATCTCAGCATTTCCACACCATCCCAAATGAGTTCTGTCTATCTTCCTCATCCTCTTTATCTTCCTCCTAAGGGAGCCTTGAATTCTGCCCCTGGGTGTGGATAGGTGAGTTTTTGCCTTATCTTGGCCAGAAATAGGCCTCAGCACCTTTCCACAACCATCTCCATACCCGTGTTACCAAGGCCTGCCCCACTTTCTAGTCCACCCTCTTATGTGTTGTCTTCCTTCATTAGAATGCAAGCAACTTGAGTACAGGAGTTTTATCTCTTACTTGTCTTTGTACCCCCAGTGTTTAGCATAGTGCTTGGCACACTTAAGAGATGCTTCATTTAACCATCTACTTATCATCTAGCTAGGTACCATCAATCTATCCAGTAACCACATAACCTTTGCTTAAAGACTTCTAATGAGGGAACCTATTCAGCATTTAAATTGCTCTAATTGTTAGGAAATATTCCCTGACATCCTACTTCCTCCCTCTAGGGCCAAGCTCTTCTGGTCCAACCTCTTTCCCCCAATAAATTCCATTAAATACTTGAAGCTTCTTATCATATCCCCTGATTCTTCTCACCACAAGGCTCCAGTTCCATCAAGTGACCTACATATACTGTGTCCTTGTCTTCTTGCTATCCTGGTCACTCACAGCTTCAGGTGTCTTCTATCTTTTTCCTACACTGCACTGGCCCTAGTCTGAAAAAGAAACAGAAACTCCAGTATGAAAAAAAATTCCAGAAAACAGAAACTCCAGTTTGAAACAAAAACTCCACAGGTCTTGGGTGTGGGATCCAACAGGAGAAGCTCTGATTTCATCAGCTCCCATGGATTCAGTTCTCCTCTCTATGCTAATGATTCTCAAAGCTACTAATTCATCCCTAACCTCTCTGCTGACCTACAGTCTCCCATCTCCAACTGCCATTCAGCTATATCAAACTGGGTGGCCTATAGACATCTTAAACTCAACATTTCCGAAAGTGAACTCATTATCTTTCTTTCCAAACATTCTCCCTTCCCTACCTCCCTATTACTATCAAGGGTAACACTATCATCCTAGTCATGCAGGCTCCAAACCTAAGAGTCATTTCCCACTCCTAGCTCTTCCCCCTCCCCCACCTTTTCAACGTGTCATAAAAGACTTCTGATGCTCCCTTCCCAGCATTTCTCCTGGATGCTCCCTTCTCTCCTCTGACAGACACTTCCATCACCGTAATGAAGCCCCTCATGACCTGGACTATTGCAATAGCCTGCTGATTGGATTACCTTCCACAGGTCTCTCTCCAATCCAGTCCATCCTCCCCATCAGCTCTCAAACTCATCCTCCTAAACTGAATCTACTCAATAGACTCCAGTGGCAGCCTCTCTCCTCCAGGATCAAATACAAAGCCTTCATTCAAAGCCCTTCACAACTGCCACACACACAGAGTCTTCTGACACTCCTCTGCCATGTGCTCTATGACCCCGTAATACTAAGAGTCCTTGCTGTTTCTCAAATGAGAGAGTTCATCTCCCAACTCCAAGCATTTTCTCTGGCTGTCCCCCATGCCTAGAATGTTTTCCTTCCTCATTTCTGCCTCCAGGCTTCCCTGGCTTCCTTCGAGTACCAGCTAAAATCTCACCTTCTACAGGAAGCCTTTCCCAATCCTTTTTTAATTCTAGTGCCTTCCCTCTACTGACTATCTCTAATTTATCCTGTACATGTGTGTGTGTGTATCCTGCACATATAGACTTGTTTGTATGTCGTCTCCTCCATTAGGCTGTAAGCTCCTTGGGATGAACTAGTTTTTTTAACCTTTCTTTGGATTGCCAGAGTTTGACACGGTGCCTGGCACCTAATAAGCACTTAATAAATGTTTATTGACTGACTTGGTAGAAATCAGCTGAGGTTGGGGCTGAGAGAAGGGGGTCTGAGCAGAATTTGTTCTTCTTGAAGCAGGGTCTTCTCATCCAAGGCTGGAAGCACATCGAATTCCACCCACTGACTGCTCTGCTCATCCCCATATTCCAAACCTGGCTTTTAAGGACCCTCCCCCCGGGATCATCTTCCTGCCTGGGGCTTCTCTCTTTCCTGAGCCTTTTCCCTATCCCAATTCTCAGTTCAGCAGGTAAAGAAATCAGCCGTAGGCTCACCTTCACAGCCTTGGTCACCTGAACTGGCCTCCCTGTCTCTCAGAAACACCTGTTCTTTAGGAAGGAAGAGATGGTGTCGACTGCACTTTGGGCCTCTGTCTGCAAAGTGGTATCAGGCAAGAGATACACCTCAATGTACCTGTCCAGGTCCTTACCTGAGTATCCCAGAGACTCATGACATCCCCAGCCTGCATTGAGAGAGTGAGGGAAATTAGAGCTCAATATACAGCTGGCTGAGAGCCTCACTGTTCTGTCCCTGCCTCTCCCTTTGCTCCGCCCCAGGACACTCCTCCCTAAGAAAGCTCCGCCTCTTGGATCAGTTTCATTTTCCTGAACGGGGCTGGACACTGGGCTGGATTCTAGTATTTTTGGAAATAATTACCCTCCATTGCCAAGAATCATAGGCACTTCCTTTTTCCTTGTTACAAGAGAGTCCCATATGGAGATGGGGGTGGGTATTATTTCTTTAAAAAACAAAACAACTAGCATGCAGATACAAAATGTATCAACTAAACTTATTTAAAAATAAATGCAGTCTAGAGTGCAGCAGCAGAAAACAGGGCTCAGTCCTCTAATAGCCCAGCTCAAGAAAATGAAACTGATAGAAGAGGGGGAGCTCTCTTAGGGAGGAGTGTCGTGAGGTAGAGCAAAGGGAAAGACAGAGGGACAGCGCGGCTCTCCCCCAGCTGGGCACTGAGCTCTCTCTTCCCTCACTCTCAGTGCAGATTGTTGACACCATGAGTCTCTGGGACACTCGGTCTAGGGAGCTGGACAGGTACATTGAGAACCATCTCTTGCCTGATACCACTTTTCGGACAGAGCTCCGAAGTGCAGTCGACACTATCTCCTCCTTCCTAAAGAACAACTGTTTCCGAGGTACATGGAAGTCAGTTCAGGTGACCAAGGCTGTGAAGGTGAGCCAGGGCTGGTTTCTTTACCTGCTGATCTGGGAATGTGGGCAGGGGGAGAAGGCTCAGGAAAGAGAAGCCCCAGGTAGGGGGAGAATCCTGTCGCGGGTGTGGGGGCGCGGCGGGAGAGATGGTCCTTAAAAGCCAGGTTTGGAACATGGGGATGAGCAGAGCAGAGGGATGTCTTGGGAGGGGACACTCGGTTTTCCACGTCCTCTCCTGCCTTCTTCTACCCAAGGGGCTCTTCCTTCAGGGATAATCTCACTGCTCAGTTTCTGCTTCATTTAGGGAGGTTCGTCTGGTAAAGGCACAGCCCTGAGAGGCCGCTCCGATGCAGACCTGGTTGTATTTCTCAGCGATCTCAAAAGCTATCGGGACCAGATAGACCGACGAGGAGAATTCATTGAGGAAATCAAAAAGCGGTTGAAAGAATGTGAGCGTGACCAACACAGAATGTTTCAAGTAAAATTTGAGGTTAACGAGGTCAACAAATGGACTAACCCTCGAGTGCTCAGCTTCAGGATGACGTCGAAAAAGATCAGTCAGTGGGTGGAATTCGATGTGCTTCCAGCCTTCGATGTTTTAGGTGAGAAGCCCCCCACCTGGCTTCTGGGTCACCCCAGTCCAGGATGAGGACACCCTGCTTCCAGAAGAACAGACCTTGCCCAGGCCCCCTTCTCTCAGCCCCAACCTCAGCTGATTTCCAACAGTGAAGCTTTCCCCCTTTGCCCACAAGGCAAGGACTATAGAGTCTCTGTTCCTGCCTCCTGGGGCGCGGGGTGAACAGGGGGAGTGTAGCATTGGGAAAAGATCCTTGGATTCAGCATCAGAAAAGAGGTCGTCAAATCCCAACTCTGCTATTTCCTGTGACCTCAGGCAAGGCACTGCCTTTCTCAGGCTCTGGGGAACTGGCCTAAATGAAGGGCTCTTGATAAGCAGCAAGGTGGTCCAGCAGACAGAACACTAAGCCTGGAGTCAGGAAGAGCTGAGTTCAAATCGTCATTGGGCATCTATAAAATAATACCTACTCCCTAGGCTTGTTATGAGATAACCTGTAAAATGCTTGGTGCATAAATGTTTCTTTTTTGTTTGTTTTGTGTTTTCCGGATCCCTTTATCGGTCTAGTCAGTCAGTCAGTCAATAAATTTATTAATAATAATTTATTAACTTAAATAAATTAAAAACATGAATAACAAATTTATGAAGTACCTACTATGAACTAGGCACTGTACTTGCCACTGGGGATACAAAGCAAGGTAAAAGTCCTCTTTTACACAGCCCAGCTGTGAAGTAGTTCAGAGTCCAATGGGAAACAGCAACTGTATAGAAACATAGTTTGAGCAACTATGTACAATCTATACACAGGATAAATTGGAAATAATTAACAGACAGAGAATTAGTCTGGTGAAGCTTATGGACCCCTTCACAGACTAATATTTTTAAATGTGTAAAATAAAATACATTGGATTATTAGAAACAAATTAGATTGAAATAGTTCTTTTAAAAAATTTCTTTTAAACCTTTACAGAACCCAGGTTACGAACCCCCAGACTAGATGATCTCTCAAACCCCTTTCAGTTCTAAAATCTTATGACCTGTGGCCAAAACAGAGTATGATCCAGAATAAACCCGACTGTTGTCAGATACATAACAAAGAGCAAGGGTGCCCAGGCCTGCAGCTAGAGCCCCCACAACAAGAGCCAGGCCCAGGGTTCTCTTGCTTTCCCTCTGACTCTTTTCCAGTGTTCCTCTTCTGCTCCAGCTGAGTTGGCCTCCTCACTGCTCCATGAACAAACCATAACCACTCCCACCTAGGGGCCCAGGCTCAGGTTATATTCTCCTTCTTTCTACTCCATTTATCCAAATTCTACTCCTCCTTCAAAGCCCAGGTCAGATCCTACTCCTCTAGGAAGCCTTCACTGATATCACTGTGATCTTTCTCCCCTGAGTTCCTCCAGGACTTGCCCTCTGTGCCCTGTATTGTCAGCCAGTTCATGTGTATGCTTCTTTTTTTTCTACACACAAACTCCTGGTGGGCAGGGCCTGCCTTTTGTCTCTCTCTCTCCCCCAAGCACTCCACCCCCCTTCCCTACTCATGGTGATCAGAACAGAGCTGGTGCTAATTCAACACTGCCTGAATTGAGTTGTTTTTCCCCCCACAGGCCAGGTGACCAAAGACTTCAGACCCAACCCCCAGGTCTACATCCAACTTATAAATGAATGCTGGGATGGGGGAGAATTCTCCACCTGCTTCACAGAGCTCCAGAAGCGCTTCCTCAAACAGCGCTGCACCAAGCTGAAAAGTCTGATCAGACTGGTGAAACACTGGTACAAAATGGTAGGAATCTTCTTTGGTTACCCAGGAGGTGAAGACCTGAGGGCAAGGACAGGAGAATGGGTGCTCCACTGGCCATGCCACTCACTAGCTGTGTGACTCCAGGAAGTCACCTGGCTTCTTCCTCAGCTCTGAAATGAAGGAGCTGGACAAGATGGCCTCTGACCTTCCCTGTGACTCAGGAGAGGAGGCAACATGAGGCATATGGATTGTATTTCATTGCATTAATCAAATGAATTTAGAAATTATCGACTATGTGCCCCTGGGAATACAAATGCAAGAAATGAGAACAGTTCCTACTCTCAGATAGCTCACATTCTATTGGAGAAGTGTGGGCATATATGATTGTGACAGACATGCCCAGGTCTGGGGGGGGGTAAGGAGAGATAGAAAGAAAGGAGGACAGTCCAGAGTTATTGGTCAAGGGAGTGATCATTCTCAATTATTTCTTCTTCCTTCTCAGTGCAAGGAGCAAATGGACAAACTCCCCCCTCAGTATGCCCTAGAGCTCCTGACTGTCTATGCCTGGGAGCATGGGAGCAAGAAAACTGATTTCAACACAGCTCAGGGCTTCCGGACAGTTCTGTATTTGATCGAGCACTACCGAGAGCTCATGGTCTACTGGACCGTCAACTATGACTTTCAGGATGTGATCATTGGAAATTACCTGCAATCACAGCTGAAAAAACCCAGGTACCACAGATAAGATCCACCACCCTCTTGGAATCAGCACATATTCCAAGCTGCTGGCTCTGGTCCCCTGAACCTTTCTGCTCTGACTCAGGCCACCCCCTTGGGCTAAGTTTACTGCTGAGCTTTTGACTCATGATCCGCCTATAAAATGTTCCCATGTGTGAGTGGAATGTCAGATTGACTTCATGACATGGTATCAGAGATTCTAGGAAGGCTCACTTGCCACCCAAAATGTCTTCTCTATGCTGCTACCTGAAATTCTGCCATTCAGGCTTTATTCCTTAGGGTTAAGAATTCTCTCCCAGGTCCTTAAAGACCATATTCACTGAATCCCTATGGGAACTTGAGAGATTGTCAGGATTCAGGGTATACACATATATAAGATACTATACAATGATTAGTGTGTGATTTCTTCTCTCCCCAGCCTGTTCTGTATCACAAGATCATGTTCTGAACCACTTCCTACATGGAAATTTAGTCTTCCAGTGAAACTGGTCCCTAGTGATTGTGTCCTGGTCCCTGATCCCTCCCTACTCATTAGCTGTATGACTATGGTCAAGATTCCTCTATGTTCCTCGGTCTTCCTCTGTGGTCCACCCCACAGGGCCTGCTAGAAGAATAATTGTGATCCTGAAGGCAAAGCTTTTGGCACAAGAAAGCATTATGTCAACTATTAATATTATTGTAGTCTATGTTACTTGAAGGAGTTAGAGAGGGGCATGCCTGGTGCAAATGTCTCCTTGGCTTTGGTGACCTGGGAGGAATCTCTTCATTAACCTTAACTCTGCCGTCCCCTTTAGGCCAGTCATCCTGGACCCAGCTGACCCAACTGGTGATGTAGGGGGTGGAAGTCGATGGCGCTGGGACAAGCTGGCACAAGAAGCTCATCTATGGTCATCTGCCCCATGCTTTCAAAATTGGGATGGGACCTGGGTGCAGCCGTGGCATGTGCCGGTGAGTGAGAGCCTTTTGTGGTGGGTGTGTGTGTGTGTGTGTGTGTGTGTGTGTGTGTGTGTGACAGAGAGAGAGAGAGATACCCCCAGAGCGCCCCCCATGCACTCAGGCAGCCTTTGCCTCTGCACAGTACCCTTCCTCCTCCTCTACCCCCAGGCTCATGGTCATCTGAAGTGGGAATCTGGAGGTCTACTCCTGATCTGACCTGAATATTCCAGCTGTGCCCTGACCATGACAGTCTCCCATGAGACTGGTACTTCCCATGATCTTTGGAATTTGGAAGAGTTCAAAGGTGTCCTCCTTGATTCCACATCTGTTACCCTCACCTGGACCCCAGCATGGTTACACCCCCTCCCCCACCCTTTTGTGGTCCATCTCCAGGAAGACCCCATTCAATAGAACCTTTTAATTGAGCAGCGGAGTCCTGAGATGTGGTACAGAACCAAGACACAGAGAGACAGAGGGAGAGAGAGAGAGAGAGAGAGAGAGAGAGAGAGAGAGAGAGAGAGAGAGAGAGAGAGGTTTGTCCTCCAGAACTGAACACTGTCCTCCCACTGGGCATAGCTCCCACAGTGGGTCCTGGGGTGGCCACTTCCCAGGACCTGTCAGTGACCTCCACTTCATGAGAAGATCCCATAGGCTTTTATTTTCACAGTCACACTGCCGGGCCCTGCTGAGCTTCTAGCATCATCATTTGATAGATATGGCAACTGACGTCAGGGAGGATGAATACCTTGAACCAGGTCACAAAGCCAGTTAGTGGCAGAACCAGGACTAGAGTTCTCTAGACGCGCAGTACAAGACTCTTTCTTTGTTGTTACTGTAGTTGTTGAGTCATTTTCATTCATATCTGACTCTCCGTGACCCCTTTTGGGGTTCTCTTGGCAAAGATCCTGGAGTGGTTTGCCCCCTCCTTCTCCAGCTCATTTTACAGATGAAGAAACTGAGGCAAACATGGTGAAGTGACTTGCCCAGGGTCACCCAGCTAGCAAGTGCCTGACACCAGATTTAACTCAGGAAGATGAGTCTTCCTGACTCCAGGCTGGGTACTCTATGAACTATGGCGCCACCTAGCTGCCCAAGCTTCTTTCTCTATGACCTCAGTGACTCCCACCCCCAAATCGTAGGTAGGCAGATTCCCCAAGGTAAATGTGTTCTCTTTTCAGGTGGAGCAGACCTTGAAAGGAAGCAAGGGCTTTTCCCCATCAGAAGAGGCCTTCTCCACTGGATATCCAGCGCTACTGGAAAGGTGCGATTGTTATCGCCAAAGAGACCCTCCTGCCCAAGAGGAGTCTAACTGCACAATTCTCTGAGGCTGTTCTCCCCAACCTCTGGCTCTCAGTGACCTCAGAGGGAGAACAGCATTTATTGGATGAGAGGGCTGCTAAAGTCCTTCCTAACTCTCAAATTTTTTAATTCCAAGAAAATTAGTGCCAGCTGTGGGTCTGTCAATGCAGCAGTTTTTATCTGAAACATGTAGTGATATCTTTATAGGGATAATATCTATAAGTGAACAAGGTTCTCTTGAGCCAAATAGAACAGGGGATCTTCTAACTGTGGATATGGGATGCTATAATCCTGTAACCCCTAGGTTGTGATCCAGGTAGAAGTTCAAGCCACTCCTGATTTCTCCTATCTATATCTCATTTGTATGTAGTTATTAGTGTGCTATCTCCCCTTGAGAGAAATGATCATTATTATATGAATAATTAATTATGGAATCAGGACCAAGATTTTTCTGCTTTTTGACTTTCTCATCCAGAAATCAACCAGTATGGGAAATCTTAGGCAAAGACTTATCCAGGAAAAGAAATTCTAGGTTTAGAGCAATGGGTGGATTCCTGCTCATTGTGTTTACTCAGACAGGTCTGGGAAAATGTGGATTTTTCCTTTTGTCAAACAGGTGATATGGAAATTGATGAGTCCAAGTCCTCCAAGCCCCTCATTGTAATATAGTCATCTTCCATGATCATATTCATTCTCTCATTAATTATTAACCAATCAGAGTTGATTGCCACACTTAGGAACACCTGATCTTCTAAGACCATATAAATTGTGAGCCCAGTGTCATGAGGGGTCTTTGGCATTGGAGAGTACCACTGACCTCCTTTATTAATAACATGCTGGTCTTATTAATGAAATAATTAATTACCCAGAAATTATGTTTTTTGAACTTTTTAAAGATCACAGTTTAAGAGACTGTGAGCTCCTCAAGATGAGAAACTGTTTTTCTCTTTCTAGGATTTAGCACAATGCCCGGCATATAGTAAGGGCTTAGTAAATGCTTGTTGACCAACTGATGTGCGAGCTAGGGAATAGTACTAGATAGCAGGCAGGTAGAACACAGTGGTGTTTTTGTTTCAAGTATCATGTTAAATCTTTGCACTGGAGACATACCACCTGGAGGCCAAATAGCATCAAAAGAGATGCCCAGTGAAGATTCCTCACCCTTTGGGAAGTAGCACAGCAGTCCCATTTAGATGGCATCTCCATGAGGAGTAGGGAGTTAAGGGGAAGTCAGGCACTTTCTGGGACAATCAGCATGTAGCCTTGATCTTTATGTGTGGTACAGAGACCACTACTCCAAATCAAGACAAAGACTTGGATACCTTGAGGGAAACACCACTGGGAGGGGTAAATCCTCTCCAGAATTTGAGCAAACAAATTGGGGGATTCAGTATATCCCTAAGGGAGGACACTCTAGCAGAGCTGTTGTTTCCTTCCAGTGTCTGGGTCTTCCCATTCAAAGGCAAACAAATCCCTATTATCCTGGTCTAAAGGACATGCCCAGAAGGCATCTTTAAGATCTATTACACTAAACCACTTAGTATTTCAGTTAGGGGGAAGGGAAAATTTTCTCCTTTTACCCCCGAGATCAGAAGATTTTCTTTCCTTAATTTTACTCCCCTGGGCAGTCTATGTGCCAACTCTATGCTTACTAAGTAAATAAAGTTGACTTTTTTCTCCATTGCTAGTGTCCAGTCAGTCATTGACGCCATCTTGAGAACTGGGTTTGGAGCAGCTGCAGGCAGCCTCTCACAACAGTAATAAATGCTTAGTACCCCTCCCTGGGTCTCAATTTCCATATTGATAAAAATGGGGGTGCTTACTTCAATAAATACTGCAAGGACCTGTGAAGATTGCCCATTCATGGGTTCCCATAGCAACCCCTCCAGAGCTGTCATCATGATTTAAAGACTCCATCATTTAGTGGCCAACCTTGCAGCAATGTGCCCTCCCCAATTCAGGTAGACTGGCCCTTGGGCAACAGATAGCCATACTCTGTACTTGGAGTCTTTCCAGGTGAAAGGGAATCATGAGGTCTGGGGTTCCACTGGGACAACCTTTAAGAGCCCAAGTACATTTCCCCACAGCAATGGAGCACCAGAAGGAGACTATAATGGAAGAAAATGGGTCAAGTAAGTATTATAAAGGAAAAACATGGCAGGCATATTCTCCCTTCTCCCTTCTCCCTCTGAGATTCCCTGGGTTCCTCCAAGGCTGAGTTTACCTGCCTCTTCCTGCAGGCAGCTGTTCCTGACCTTGCTAGCTGTTCATGCCCTTCTGAACTTCCCACCTCAAATGATCACGGTTTATATCTAAAATTCCTAATCTTTTTTGAGTCCTGGACTCCTTTGGCAGTTTGGTGAAGCGTGCACACCCCTTTCTCAGAATTATGTTTTTAAATACACAAAATAAAACTTAGAGGATTTCAAAGGAAACCAAAGGAAATGAGAAATCGCTTCAGTATCTTTGCCACAAAAACTCCAAATGGGGTCATGTAGAGTCAGACAGCACTGACTAACAATAAAAATCTAAAATGAGGTGGTTAGACTGGATGGCCCCAAGGGTCCCTTTCAGCTCTAAATCTGTGATCCTGCAAATCCCAAGTAGTGAATATGGGAGTTTGCTTTCCCACAGCCAGCAAAGATCTTTAAGATATAGATATAGATATTTCCGCAATTACACATCAAAACAATTTTTAACATTTGTTTTCTTTTAAATTAAGTTTTGAGTTCTGAGTTCTATCCCTTCTTCCCTCCCTTCCCTCCTTCCTCCCTGAGACAGGAAGCAATCAGATATATACATGTGCAATCCACATTATTAAGAGAAATGAGGGCAGCTTAGTCCCAGAGAAGAACAGAAAAAAAAGAACTTATTCTCCTTTCATGGGGATGGAAGGTATTGATTGTTTTGACTGCTTTTTTCTTCTTTCTTTTTTATCTTTTCTTTTTAGAAGGGATGGCTCACTAAGTAGGTGAGAAAGGGAGGTGAATTTGATATGAAAACAAAGCATACAAAGAAACAAATTTACAAAGAGAAGGTGGTACAGTGGTTAGAGTGATGGACCTGAAGTAAAGAAGACACAAGTTCAAGTCTTGACTCAGTTACTTGCTGTGTGATCTTTGACAAGTCATTTCATTGCTGCCTGCCTTAGTTTCTTCATCTATAAAATGAGGATAATAATAGCCCCTCCCTCCCAGGATGGTTTTGAGACTCAAATGAGAAAATATTCTTAAAAATGCTTTGCCAGCTGTAAAGCACTATATGAATGCTGGCTATCAGCATTATTTTTAATAAATATTAATAATTTCATAATAATAATGGCTGAGAAAGAGACAACCAGAGGGGTGTCATAGAGACATTAACAGTCAAGAAGTAGAAGAGCCGGGGCAGCTAGGTACGCAGTGGATAGAGCACTGGCCCTGAATTCAGGAGGACCTAAATTCAATTCCTGCCTCAGACATATAACACTTACTAGCTGTGTTACCCTGGGCAAGTCACTTCACCCCGTTGCCTAGCCGAAAAAAAAAAGAAAAAAAGAATTAGAAGAGCCAGCCCTGGTCCTGCTATTGTAACCTCCTGCCAGTCTCTCATCAGCCTCATTGGTTTCCTCAACTAAAAAGTGAAGGCTTTAATTAATTAATATTAATGATAATCATTCAGTTGTTTTTCAGTCATGTCCAACTCTTGGTTGACCCCTTGTGGGATTTCCTTGACAAGGGATACTGTGGTGGTTTGCCATTTTACAGATCATTTTACATATAAGAAAACTGAGGCAAACAGAGTAAAAGTGACTTGCCCAGGGTCACACCGCTAGGAAGTGTCTGAAGCCAGATTTGAACTCAGGTAGATGAGTATTCCTGACTGCAGGACCAGCACTCTATCTACTGCACCCCTAGCTGCTTACTACTACTACTACTACTACTACTACTACTACTACTACTAATAATAATAATATACTTATAATATAATGCTTTAAGGTTTGCAAAGCACTTTGCATATGTTCTCATTTGATGTTCCTAACAAATCTGTGAGGCAGCTGCTATTATTATCCCTGTTGTACAGATGAGGAAACTGAGGTAAATGGAGATTAAATGAGTTACCCAGGGACACACAGCTGATAAGGATCTGAGGCAAGATTTGTACCGTGGTCTACCTTGACTTCAAGCCCTGTACCGAATTTGTCAGAGTGAAAAGTGCAGAAGCAAGATAACAATGTGCCTGATGACACCAATAACATACATGAAAGCGCAGCTAGCTTCTGACTGGTTACAACGCTCAGCGTTGGCTCCAAAGAGCAGGGGATCGAGTCCGCCCTCCTCCCCAGCTGCGAGAGGAGCATCATGGGTGTTTTGCCTTGGTTTGGTTCCTTTGTCAGCTGGTTGAGCTTCACTTTTTTTCTGTGGACTCAGTGGCAGGGTGGGCTACATGGAACCGTGACATCTGTAGGTGTGGGGGCAGGGATGGGCAGGCGGTGGGGCAGAGCTTGAGGGTGAGGAGGTTAGAGGTTTTTTTTAAATTTTATTAATTTATTTTGATTTATCAATAATCACTTCCATACGCTTTTGAGTTGAAAGTTTTTCTCCCCCTTCTTCCCCCCCACCCTCCCCAAGACAGTGCACAATCTGATATTTACATTTTCATTAAACATATTTTCACATTAGTGAAGTTGTAAGTAAAAATTAAAACCAATAGGAGGAACCATCAGAAAGAGGAAACAAAACTCAACAGAAGGTAAAAATAAGTGATAGCAATTCGACTTCCATAGTTATTTCTTTGGATGTGGACAGCATTTTCCATCACGAGGCCTCTGGAGATGTCTTAGATCCTCGTAATGCTGAGAAGGGTTCAGTTTAACAATCTTAGTCATTGCATAACATGGCTGTTATTGTGTACAAAGTCCTCTTGGTTCTGCTCACTTCACTCAGCATCAGACCATATAAGTCTTTCCAGGTTTTTCTGAAGTCTGCCTGCTCATCATTTCTTATAGTGCAATAGTATTCCATTACATTCATATACCACAACTTGCTCAGCCATTCTCCAATTGATGGGCATCCTCTCATTTTCCAGTTTTTTGCCACCACAAAAAGAGCTGCTATGAATATCTTTGTACACGTGGGTCCTTTTCCCATTTTTTTGATCTCTTTGGGTTATAGCCCTAGAAGTGCTATTGCGGGATCAAAGGGTATGCACATTTTTGTAGCCCTTTGGGCATAGTTCCAAATTGTTCTCCAAAATGGTTGGATAATTTCACACCTCCACCAACAATGTATTAGTGTTCCAATTTTCCCACATCTTCGAGGAGGTTAGAGTTTTGCCCAGAGGGAAAGAGGAGCCAGGCAGTGGGGAGCTGGGGAAAGATCCAGGTAGAAAGGGAAATCGAAAGTAAAGGAGATGAGAGAAAGAAAAAAGGAAAAAGCCCTAATTTCCTGTATGTAGCAGGTTTGGAACTGCCCATGGAGGGGAAGAGCCGCTGCAAAAGTAGTGAGGTTGGTTTCATTTCTCTGGTAGGAGAGACACTGCCCTCTTCTCCTTTGCCTTCTCTTCCTTCCCTCCATCCTTGCCTCTCCCTCTGGGCTCCAACCTCTCAGTTCTTTCTGCTAGCAGAACAAGCCCTGTAAAGGAAACGAAACTAACCCACAGGGCTGGGACGTTTTTCTCCCACATGAGCCAATAAGATTCGGGACTGCCTTTGGCAGTCACCCACCCATGGGGAACAGAGCTGAAAAAGGGCATGGCCTGGCTGTGACCTGGGTGAGGGACAATTTCCTCTTGGAGCCAGCTCAGAACCCTACCTGCTGTATCTGGAGCCATGGGTCTGTACCAGACTCCGGGCAGGGCACTGGACAAGTTTGTCCAGGATTATCTCATGCCACAGAAAGGCTTCCTGGATCAGGTGAGCCAAGCAGTGAACACCATTTGCAAGGTGCTACGGGAGAAGTGTTTTCAGAACTCCGCCTCCAGGATCCGGGTGATGAAAGTCATTAAGGTGAGTGACTGAGGCGGGAAGTTCCTCCCGCCTAGAAGATGAAGACAGGTGGGGGACCTGGGACAAGAGGGCAAGACCTGAAAGACCTTTGGAGACTGGGAGCCTCCGTAGGCACAATTCATCAATAGATGAGCACTTCTTGAGAGCCTACTAGGTGCCAGGCACTGAGGATATCTGTTGAAGAAAACATCAAAATACAAAAATATTTCAAAAGTAAACATATAGTGATTTGAGGGTGTAGGGAGGTGGGGCAACACTCCCCCTGGAGAGAGGTCAGGAAAGGCCTCCAGGAAGAGGTGGTGGTAGATATGAGCACAGTGCCTGGCAGGTAGTAGGGGTTTAATAAATGTTTATTGAATTGAATTGAAAAAAGAAATCGAAGTGTTCTAAGAGACAGCTTTCCAGGAATGTGGGACAGGCAGTGTGAAATCAAGAGGGAACAAATAATCCAGTGTGGACACAGAAAGGACTCATTTACCTTAAATCTGGAAAGGCAGTGAGGAGCCAGGTTGGAAAGGGCTTTAAATACCAAAGAGAAGAATTTGTCATAGACCTATAGGCACTAGGGCCTCACTGAACGTTCTGGAGCGGGGGAATGGTAGGGTCAGACCTGTACACCTTGGCAGCTGTGTGGAGAATGGATTGGAGAGGGGAGAGTCTTGGGGCAGAGAGGGAGAGAGAGAAAGGGGGGGGAGAAAGAGAGAGAGAGAAAGGAGAGAGAGAGACAGAGAGACAGAGACAGAGAGGAGAGAGAGACAGAGAGAGAGAGAGGGAGAGAGAGGAAGAGAGGAGAAGGTTGGTGGCTCAAAGCATACTGTGTGTGTGTGTGTGAGAGAGAGAGAGAGAGAGAGACAGACGGACAGAGAGAAAGGAGAGAGACAGAGAGAGAGAAAGGAGAGAGACAGAGAGAGAAAGGAGAGAGACAGAGAAAGAGAAAGGAGAGAGAGAGACAGAGAGAGAAAGGGGAGAGAGAGAGAGAGAGAGAGAGAGAGAGAGAGAGAGAGAGAGAGAGAGAGAGAGAGAGAGAAAGAGGGAGAGAGAGGAAGAGAGGAGAGGGTTGGTGGCTCAAAGCATACTCTGTGTGTGTGTGTGTGTGTGTGTGTGTGTGTGTGTGCGAGAGAGAGAGAGAGAGAGAGAGAGAGAGAGAGAGAGAGAGAGAGAGAGAGAGAGAGAAAGGGGAGAGAGGAGAGACAGAGAGACAGAGAGAGAGAGAGAGAAAAAAGAGAGAGACAGAGAGAAAGGGGAGAGAGGAAAAGGAGAGAGAGGGAGAGAGAGAGAGACCAGTTCAAAGGCTATTGCAATAGTTTAGGCAAGAGGTGTTGGGGGTCTGAACTGGGGTGGTAACACCATGAGTGAAGGGAGGGATGCAGGTAGGGGAAATGTCATAGAAACAGAATTGGTAAGATTTGGCAACTGATTTAGTATGGTGGAAGAAGGGAATGAGAGACACCGTCCTTTTCATGGGATGGCAGAAGGAGCTCTGAGCCTGGGAGCCAGGAATCCTGGATTCTGGACAGAGAATGTTTGTACTAGAAGAGTGCTTAGAGATCATTTAGGCCAACCCTTCATTTAAGCAACTGGTAAACTGACATGCAAGTTGCTGATCCAAGGCCCCACCAGTGCATGATGGCAAATCACTTCCCCAATCTGGGACTCAGTTCCCCCATCTGTAAAATAGGAGTGATGATGCCTGCTTACCTCAAAAGGGCTGAAGCTAGAAAGATTTTGAAAACAACCTGTTACTACACAGATGCAAGAGCCAGGCAGTATAGCACCCAGGGTACCAATGCAACATGGCACCAAGTTCTGAAACTTACTACTTCTCTGACCTTCAATTTCTTCATCTTTATGATAAGAGGGGTTGGACCAGATCATAAGATTTAGAAAAGAAAGGGGCCTGACAGGTCATCTAGGTCAACTCCCTCACTTTAAAGAAAGGGAAACTGAGGCCAGAAGAGGGAAGCAGGTTGCCCAAAGTCACACAGATAGCAGGGCCAAAGGAGGTTTGAACCCAGGTCCAATATCTCCAAATCCAGGACTTTGCCCACTATGCCGCACTGCCTCTCAAGAATCCCTTCTGAGTCTTCGTATATCCAAGTTCCCATCATGCCAGGGCTGCTCTTGTGTCCTCCTCAGGGTGGCTCCTACGGCCGGGGCACGGCCTTGAGAGGCGGCTCTGACGCTGACCTCATCGTCTTCCTCAGCTGCTTCAAGGCCTATGCTGACCAAGGGGCCTGGCAGCCAGATGGCTTTGCTGAGATCCGGGCCCAGCTGGAAGCCTGCTGGCAGAAACACCCACAGGCCTTGATCCTCCAGTTCTGTGCCCAGGGGGATCCTCGAGCTTTGAGATTCCGGCTGGGGTCAGCCACACTCCACAGCTGGATGGAAGTTTCCCTGAGGCCTGCTTTTGATGCTCTGGGTGAGTGGCTGGGCACTGTGAGGCAGCATCCTCCCCTGCAGTGAAGGGATCCAGACAGGAAACTGTTGTGTCCAAACTCTGGAACTCTCAGAAATGCCCTGCCTTCTACAGGGACTTTAATTTCCTCCACTGGAGTTATCAAAGGGCTGCTATACTTTATCAGGCAAGCTTGGTAAATCACTTCATGCTCTGTGGCTGCAGAACACTAATTCATAGAATAATAATAATAATAGCAAATAGTCATATAACACTTTACATTTTCATATCACTTTACATATACGTTATCTCATTTGATCATAGAATGTAAGGGCTGAGAGGGGCTTTAGAATGCCAAGTATCTGAGCTGGAAAAGGGCCTCAGAACAGGGAATGTCAGAGCTGGGAGGGGGCCTCAGAACAGGGAATGTCAGGACTGGGAAGGGTCTCAGGACAGGGAATGTCAGAGCTGGGAGGGGCCTCAGGATAGAGAAGGTCAGAGCTTGGAGGAGCCTTAGAACAGGGAATGTCAGAGCTGTGAGGAGCCTTAGAACAGGGCATGTCAGGGCTGGGAGGGGTCTCATGATAGTGGATGTTAGGGCTGGGAGGGGCCTCAGAACAGGGGATGTCAGAGCTGGGAGGGGCCTTAGAACAGGGCATGTCATGGCTTTGTTGCTCAGTTGTGTCTGACTCTTCATGATCCCTCCTCTTCAAAAGGCATGTAAACTGTGACCCCACCACCATTAGGGGTTTTTGGTCTAAGAGAGGAAACTAGGCGGTGCAATGAATCGATCATAGGACTAGGAGTCAGGAAGGCGTGAGTTTGAATACCACCTCAGACCCATACCATCTGAGTAACTCTGGACAAGTCACTTAAGAAAATTAAACTGTGCCTCCGTTTCTTCATCTGTAAAATGGAGGGGGGGGAGATGATAATAGCATCTGCTTCCCAGGGCTGTCATGAGAATCAAATTAGTTAAAACATGTAAAGAGCTTTGCAAACCTTAAAGCTCTATATAAATGCTAGCTCTTATTATAATTAATGATAAATAAAATGGGCACTCCTAGAATAGAATAGAAGAGGATTATACAGAAAACCCAGATCTCTGTTATGTGAAACTTGCTTTTCTTTTTTTGACAGAAACATGAATGATTTTTATCTTACTAGATTCAGTCCAATGCTCATAGCCTTTCTAAATCCTTAGGGATCCTGAGATTGTCATTCTGTGTGTTAGCTCTCCTTCCTTTTTAGAAGACATCCACACATTTGATGAGCAGGCCATCTCTTCCTTTATTCAAATCACCAACAAAATTCCAGATTTTCTACCAGTCTGCAGTAGAATTAGGCTTGGGATCACCAGGCTAGGCCGTGCCACCTACCTTACACAGAGCAGAGCCTCAGAACCTGTTTGTCCATCGGTAGTTTGTGCACCACTCTTTCCTTGGCCTATTGACAAGATGGCGCCATGGAAGAAACCCTAGCTTTACAGTCAGGAAAGTCACTTCTCTTTTTGGGTCCTGATCTGTGAAAGGAAGGAATCCTAATGGATCATCTCTAAGGTCTAAATCTATGACCCTAATGGGGTTTCTCACACCTTCCCTATTGGACCTCTGATCTGGGGAATGGTGGAAGTGAACAGGAGAGTCCCTGGGCCCAGAGTGGGGAAAATGATTTCTCTATGTCTTTGGAGTCCCCATCCTAGGAGAGAAAGCCAGCTTAGTTTGCGGCAAAGAGACAATATGTGTGTTATTTCTTCACAGGGCCTCTCAACCCTGGCTCCAAACCTAGACCGCAGGTCTACGTAGATCTCCTAAGCAATGGCTCTCCAGCAGGCGTCTACTCTGAATGTTTTACTGAGCTCCAGAGGGATTTTGTCAACAGCCGCCCCTCTAAGCTAAAGAATCTCATTCTTCTAATGAAACACTGGCACCAGCAGGTGAGACCTGGGACGCATTAACACTGATAAAGGAGCACTGTCATTAAAACTATTGGAATCAAATCTCTGAACTATTTTCTTTTTTTAAAAAAGGAAAGGCTTTTCATTTAATCCCATTACAGATAATGCTTGTTGTCAGTTTTAGCTACAGACTACTTACCATTTTAAGGAAAGTACTATTTATTCCTATGCTTTTTAGTATTTTTTAAAAATAAAAATGGGAAAAAAAAACAGGGGGTAGCTAGGTGGTGCAGTGGATAGAGCACGGGCCCTGAAGTCAGGAGGACCTGAGTTCAAATCTGGCCTCAGACCAAACACTTGACATTTACTAGCTGTGTGACCTGGGCAAGCCATTTAACCCCAATTGCCTAAAAGTTAAAAAAATAAATAAATACAAATAAAAATGGATGTTATATTTTGTCCAAAAAATTTGTATCTATAGAAATAAGAGTGATTTTTGTTGTTTTGTTATTCATGTGGTCAATTATGCTTAAAATTTTCCTAATATTGAACCATCCCTGCCTTCCTGGAGACAAAAAAATTCAGCCTGGTCATAGTGTATGATCTTTATGATACATTGCTGTAATCTCTTTGCCGATATTTTATTTAAAATTTTGCATCAATATTCATTAGGGAAATTAGTCTATGCTTTCCTTCTCTGTTCTGACTCTTCCTGTTCTAGGTACCAAAACTATATTTGTGTCATAGGAGAAATTTGGTAGTTCTCCATTACCTATTTTTTAAACAGTTTATTTGGTATAAAAATTCATTGTTCTTTAAATGTTCAGTTGGATTTGCTAGTAAATCTATCTGGTCCCAGGTTTTTTTTTTCTTTAAAAGTTCAATTATAGCTTATTCTATTTTTTTTTCTACGATAGGGTCATTTAAGCACTTGATTTCCTATTATGTTAACCTGGGCAATTTATATTTTTCCAAATATTCATCTATTTTATTTAGATTGTCAGTTTTATTGGCATATAGTTAAACAAAATAGCTCCTATTAATTGTTTTTATTTCATTTTTATTGGTTGTATAATCACACTTTTTCATTTTTAGTACTGGTAATCTGCTTTTGTTGTTTCTCATTTTAATCAAATTAGTCAATGGTTTATCTATTTTATTGCTGTTTTTTTAAAAAATACCTCCTACCTTTATTTATTAGTTCAATAGATGTTTCTACTTTGAATTTTGTTCATCTCTCCTTTGACTTTTGAACTTATAATTTCTAGTATGATAAGTACTTTAATTTCTAATATAATAATATGATAGATATAACCCACATGAATGGAAGCTTTTGGGGAATCCTCAGTAATTTTTAAGTGTTTATGGGTCCCTGAGACCAGAATGCCCCCGATATAAAATATCGCTTTTGAACCTCATAAACAACCCTATGAGGTAGCTTATCAGGTCTCATTCTCATTTTATCTAGGTATTTTACTTACTTCTTCAACTAGAGTTTATGCTCTGAAAGACCAGGAAGACTGTCTTCTTTTCTGTTCCCTGTAGTACTCAGGGTGGGTCAAGACACACAGCAGTAAAGACTTGTGGATTGATTGACTGGTTTGGGTCTCATTAGGTTACTTCACAGTATGAAGCAGGCCAACAAGATGATAAGCATTTGCCTTCAGTCTATGCCCTGGAACTCCTGACCATCTATGCCTGGGAGCAAGCAGGCAGGAAGGACAAATTCCACATGGCTGAAGGCTTCCTGACAGTCCTGGGCCTAATCCGGGCCTACCAGCAACTCTGCATCTACTGGACCGTCAACTATGACTTTGAGGATAAAGCCATCAGGAGCTGCCTACAAAAGCATCTGGGGAAGCCTAGGTATCAAGTCTTTTCACCTCCCGCTTTCCAGGCCTTCCCACTTTGCTCCCCTGGAATTGAAAGCCATGAGCCCAGAATCTTCCTTGCTATACAGCAAAGCCAAGCCAGAGTCAGAGCTAGGGCCAAGATGGCAGAGTAAAAGTAGTGTCTTGCTTGAGCTCTCCCCCAAACCCCTACAAATACCTGTGAAAAAAATGGCTCTAAAATTATTCTAGAGCAGCAGAATCAGAGCTAGGCAGTACTGTGAAGAAAGCAAGGTTATTTGGAGACACTGGGGAGCTAAAGAACCAATAATAACTGGATCTAACATTTAGAGAGTGTTTTAAGGTTTGTAAAATGCTTTACACCTGTTTTCTCCTGAGATCCTTCACAGCAACCCTATCCAATAGGAGCTATTATCCCCATTCTACAGATAAGTAAATTGAGGCTGAGAGGTTAAGGGATCTGTCCTGGGTCACATGACTTTTAATTCAAGTCTTCCTGGCCTCAAGTCCAGCACTCTCTCCACAGTGACAATGAGTTTCCCTTCTCAAGGTTGTTCTCAAGGGATGCTCTGGAGCTCCTTAGCTATTTCTTCTCCAGTCTGCTTTGTCCAGACTTCCTCTACCTCATATTCCTTCTTCTTGTCCTTCCCTCTAGCCTGCCCTCTGCCTATCTAGTTAGTCCCATGATGGGAAAGCTTACCCTTCATTTATTCTCTCTACTCCAAACTACAGGCCCCTGATCCTGGACCCAGCAGACCCAACCTGGAATGTGGGCCAGGGGAGCTGGGAGAGGCTGGTCCAGGAAGCTGAAACCTGTGGTTGTCAGCCCTGCTTTGTGAATGGGGATGGGTCTCCAGTGCAACCATGGGATGTGATGGTAAGAGGCAGGGCCTCTTTGGAAAATGCTCCCCTCTCAAGGGGAAGACAGTGCTCTCTGCCCCAAACACTGGTATCCTGATGAAATCAGTTATGATGAAGTGGTTCGGGGCGGGGGGGTGGGCTGGATAGGCCAAGCCTTCTTGTTGCCCTTTTGCAGATGAGAAGACTGAGCCTCAGAAGGGCCCAGGGTACCAGACTAGGACCTAGGTCAACACTGAAGACAGATGTAGTCTTGTATGTTTTTGTTTCGTTTTGTTTTGTTGGTGATGGTGGAAGATTAATTGGGCTGCCTGGCTATATTTGAGCTTCAATTGTTTTTCATTTGTTTGTTTGTTTGTTTTCAATTAAGGGAATCCCCACATCCACACTGTCACCCCAGCCCTAGACCAAAGTCCAGGCCAGCAAGATACAGTACAAAGAGCCTGGCTCTGAGTTCATATCCTACCTGTTTGACTTTGGGTGAATGAATTAACTTTGCTGGGCTTCAGTTTTCTCATCTGTCAAAATGAAGGGGTCGGCTTCTGCAGTCCCTTCCAGCTCTGAATCTACAATTCTTTGATCCCTGGTGTCTTTCTCTTCAGCCAGCTCTGCTTCAACAAACTCCATCCTGGGACCTGGACAATTTCATCAGTAAATTCCTCCAGCCCAACCGAGAATTCCTGGGTCAGGTGAGCAGAGCTGTGGACATCATCTGCTCATTTCTGAAAGAAAACTGCTTCCGGAATTCATCCACTAAGGTGCTCAAAGTAGTCAAGGTGAGCCACACATACAACAGAGCCCACAAAGGAAGGGTCTGGCATGCCCCGTAACCAGAGGGGACTAGAGTTGGAATTAGGGATAGAGTTCATCTGGGAGGTATAAGAGGAAGGGAAGGAAGAGAAAATGCATTTATTAAGAACCAGCTGTGTTCTAGGCACTGAGCTAAGTAAGCACTTCACAAAGATTCTCTCATTCCATCTTCACAATAACCCTGAGAGGTAGGTACTAATATTATCCCCATTTTACAGATGAAGAAACTGAGGCAGACAGAGATGAAGTGTCTTATAAGCAGAGTAGATAACTCCTTTGACTGAGGAGGAATGAGCCAAGGATAAGAGCAGATCTGTCAGCTCTTCTAATTTACTGAAAGAATTCCTAGAAATCTACTCTACTCCATCTCCCTATCCCCCAGCTCCTAAGTCAAGTTGTTTTTCTTTAGTGAACACCAGGGCACAGTGGTAAGTAAAGTTACCAAGGGGCCTTGCCTAGATACTGAACTGATGGGGTTGGGATCTGGGCTCCAGAAAGGAAAAACCCTGGACTTTCCCATATGGCCAAATTTCTGGCATTTACCTGAGGTTATAATCCCATCAACTGGCCTTTCATTGTGGACCTCTCTATGGCCCCTGGCCATTTCCCACCCTTAATCCTAGCTAGGCTCCATTCTCCATAGGCCATGAGGTCCAGGTCCCCAGGAGTTCTGTTCACCTCAATTTACTGGCCACTCCTAAGTCCCTCCCACAGTCTTTCTGTATATAAGGTCCACCTTGTCTCCATTAAGGTGCTTAGATTTTTAAAATCTAGCCACTGCTTAGATTCTTATAATCGAGCCACTGCTCAGATTCCTAAAATCTAGCCACTGCTTAGATTCTTAAAATCTAGCCAATAGCTTACTAATGTTCAGACTCCTTAAGAGTCTGCCAGTATGACTGCTGTTCTAATAAACCTTGTCTTTGGCTGAAAGAAGGCTTGGGTCGAATTCTTTTGGACAGGACTCATGTGTTGTGATTTTGGGGTCCCTGAACCCTTAAACCGCATCAGAACCAACTTCAAAGTCCCAGGAGAAGTATAAAGTTCAGCTTTTATCCAGAGACAGACAACTCCCAAGATAGTGTCTGGAGTCAGAACCAAGCAGAACCTTAAGGCATAGTGAAAAGAACCTGGATTAAGAAGGCCTGGGTTAAAAACCTTCCTCTGGAATTTACTACCTATAAGCTTTGCTTATGCTTTAATTTTGTTGGAGTTAAATACTGCCTTCTTGGAGATGGATGAACTAACCTGCTGGTAAACCCTGTAGGGTTCTCTTTTTTCCATTTAACAGCTTCTGAATTTCCCTATCACTTTTGGCAAACCAGTCTTGATTGCGAGTATTCTGACTCAGATGTGCAAATTTAGAGAATCCACCCCAAATGTTCACATGGACTATGTGTACCCTACCTGTGGTAGAACATTCTGAACTCCTGTAGGTCTGATCAGCCACAGTCGGATGCACTGTAACTTGACTCTGTCAAGCTACTGAACATTTAAAATCTGGACTTTAGAAAAGGGGAGAAACTCTGGATCTTCCCAAATCATTGGTTATTAATAATCATTTCTCTCCAGGGGTTGGTGTAGAAGGTCTCTTCTAAGACTTCTGAATGGGACGTAGGGTGGCATGGAGGTTGGATCGGGGGGAAGAGAAAAGCCTCCAGAAGATGTGGGTCACAATGGCCCCTCCCACTGGAGTACTACCCCAACATCATCTCTGTCAGACTAGATACTACCCATCATTCTATGAAGCCTTCCCTGACTCTGTAGTCAGACAACCTGGGTTCAAATCCAACCTCTGATATTTTCTTGTGTGGCCTTGGGTATCATTTTACTTCCTGGGCCTCAGTTTCTTTCTCAGTAAGATGAGGTGAATGGACTAGAATGATTTCTGAGGTTCCTTCCAACTCTAGGTCTGTGCACCCATGTATACTCACAGCCTGTCTGTACCTCTCTGTGGCGCACATCCAGGGGTGAGCTGGAGCCAGTTCATTCCAGCTCTGAGAGCTAATTGTTAAATTTTCAGTGGGAGCATTTACACTTTGGAAATAGACTGACACTATGAATCAGGGCTTGGTTTATTGTTTTTTGTTTGTTTGTTTTTTGATGAGGCAAAGTTAGCAAAGGGTTAAGTGACTTGCCCAGGATCACACAGGTGCATTGTTTTATTGAGTGTCCAGACTTAAGAAAGTAATGGATAAAATGCTAATAATGCAGGTTAAATTGAAAAGAGTATTGTGGATAAATTTGGGGGTAAGAGGGCAGCTAGTTGTTAAATATTTTCCAGCATACCCGAGTCACATCCCTGTTTGCTTGGCATCATAGCTACAGGAGAACCTGTCTTATGTGATCCCAACTTGATAAGAAACATTAATGTTGCTGTTATTATAACTATTATTAAGCACCTCCATCTTTCTCATAGCACTCAGGGCAAAGCCTTGCCCAGTAAATGTTTGTTGATTAAATGAACCAAGGTAAATTCAAAATCTAGACATACCAGGGTTAGTCAAAGAAGGTTCAGTCACATGGGGGTCAGAACACCAGGACAACCTGGTATGAAGCCATTGCTATTATAAAGTCCTTTAGACATCTCACTTTATCTCATTAGATCTTTGTATCAACCTTGGCAGGGAGGCATGGTAGAGCTCATTATCTGCATTTTACAGAGGCGGAAACTGAGGCACTGAGTGTTAGTTACTTGCCCAAGATCGTACAGCTAGTAAGTTGTATTGTCCAGACTAGAAGTCAGATCTACCCTATATCCTGTGTTCTTTCTTCTCATGTGGGGATGGGAGTGGAGTCAGCAGCTTTCTTTGACCCTAACCTAGAACCTATACTTGTATGGGGAATAGGGAAATCTAGCTTTGACATAGAGCCAGAACCTAGGCAGGGTGATCAGGGCTATGTCCCAGAGTAGAAAATTTAAAGGGCTGCTGATGTGTTCTCCATTACAGAAGAAGGTAGAGGCAGATCCTGGTATGGGAAGAGCCCCACGAAAGATGAAGGATGGGGAATGGGGGAATGAGTGAACAGCTTGACTCTCCTGGGATGAGGGAAGAAGGAGGGCAGTCCCTAGGTGCCAACAGTGGTAACCTATTAGGTACTTCCTCAAAGTCTACCCAGAAAGAAAGAGTACCCAGGAGGACCTGATGTGGCTTCAGACATCTGACATTAGCTGTGTAACCCCAGGCAGGTCACTTAACCCCAACTGCCTCACAAAAAAAAAAAAGCACCACAGCCTATGGACGAGGGCAGGCTGGGAAGTGACCCTTCCTCCCCACTGCTTAACCAGCCCAGAGTGAGGAGAAGTGGGGCCCTTTAGGATGTTAGGGGTTAAATATCTCTTCTTTGCGTTCATGTGACAGATTCTAGCTGCCAAGATAAATCTACCACAAATGAAGAAATTATGGAGGTAAAAATCTAGGTTTTATTATGCTTAAGCAGAAATTCAAGAGGTAGAAAAATAACACTGAACTCAGATTAGGATTCTAATGAGGCTTTTTATAGACAAAATTACATGAGAGAGACAAAGAAATTATTTTTGTATATATTGCAATCTCATACTTTCTTTAGATTTAAAAGTTTAAATAAAAGACAGATTCATAATACCATGTGCTTCCTTCAATATCATAAACAATGAACAAACTTCAACAGAATCATAATTGCATACATCCCCTAAGGAAACAAACCTAGTTAAACAGACTCCATAGGTAAGCTAAGTCAGGTTACAATTACACATTTAGGTGGCTCAGCACTGGACCTGGAGTCAGGAAGATGTGAGTTCAAATGTGGCCTCAGACACTGAGTAGATGTGTGAGCCTGGGCAAGTCACTTAACCCTGTTTGCCTCAGTTTCCTCATCTGGTAAATGGGCTGAAAAAGGAAATGGCAAACCACTCCAGTATATTTGCTAAGAACCATTCCAGTACCTTTGCCAAGAAAACCCCAATAGGATGAGTCAGACGTTACTGAATAACATTTAGAGGGCAATGGGCTGATTGAGAGGGGAGATCTACAAGCCTACAGGATAATCCTTCCACCAATGACTAAATCACTTTGGGAAGCTCAAATTCTCTTGATTCTTATTGAGGAATGTCTAAAAGTTTAATTTTTTAAAAATTAGTTCTATCATCGCATTACTCAGGTTTTTAGCCACATGAGACAGGCTTTCAGCTAACCAAAAGTTGCAGCAGGAATAGCTCTAAGCCTTGAATAATAAGAACGAGTAAAAGGAATATTAAAATCCTCCTAACAGTTTTTAGAATTTTCATAACAAGGAGGGGTAAGATCTAGGAAAGAAGCCAACACCTCAGCTCCTAGTAAGGGGCTAGAGTGTCCTGGGAACACTTTTGACTCCGCCATCTTGTAGACCTTTTCTTTCTTTTGAAGTTTCACCCTCCTTGGCTTTTCAAACTTTCCTGCCGATGGGATCCCTAGGGAGGGTGAGTAAACATGGGGCCACGGCTCATCTGTCAGCCCCATTTCTTAGCTCAAGTGCTTATAGTGAGATGTGAGACCAGAAGCAACTCTTCTGAGAAAGCCAGTACCCCCCAGGAAAGCCAAATTTCACCAGCCTGGCAGAAAGAGGAGTAGACTGGGAGTCAAGACACCTGGGGTTCTAGGTCCTGTTCCAACACTAATTCTGGGCCTCTGTTTCAATAGTAATAATAAATAGTAGTAGTATTTATATAGTGCTTTAATCTTTGCAAAGCACTTTACAAATATCTCAAATCATCCTCACAACAACTCTAAGAGGTAAAATGACCTCATTTTACAGTTGGGGAAACTGAGGTGGACAGCTGTGAAGTGATGGATATAGCCCTTATCACTCGGCTTTGGTTCAGGCTTTATGTCAAAGCTAGGTTTCCCTATTCCCCTTACAGGTAGAGGCTCTAAATTTTTTAATAAAAAATCAAAATTAAATGTGCTGACCCCTCCCAGGCCCATGGTCACACAGCTAGTAAGTGTCTGAGGGAGGATTTGAAATCAGATGTAGCTCCAGGCCCAGCACTCTATCCACTTCAACACCTAGGGCCTTCTGTAAAATAAGAGGTTGAACAAGGTGATCAACATTCCTTCCAACTGTACCAGTCTGTGAGACCATCAGAATTGAATTCCACTTAAGTATTCTACCTCAGCTTGGTCCCAATTTCAGTAGAAGTGGAATGACTTTGGAAAAGTCACTTTCCCTCTCCAGGGCTTCCTTAAAATAAAATAAAATTTAAATTAAAAAAAAAAAAGGCTGGGCCAACTAGGTGGCACAGTGGATAAGCTCTAGCCTTGAAGTCAGGAGGACCTGAGTTCAAATCCAACCTCAGACACATGACACTTACTAGCTCTGTGACCCTGGGCAAGTCTCTTAACCCCGATTGCCTCACCAAAAAAAAGAAAAAGGCAAAAAAAAAAATAGTATGACCAACTTTTATGTTTAATCTGCACCACTAACATTTTCTCCATCAATTTCTTCTGTCCAGACAACCAACAAAACAATAAATGAAACCCTAATTTGTAGTGTTTGTCAATTTTTAAATTATAAATACTCGCTGCAAATTTAACAATCATCTTTCACAGGTTGTGCAAGCCGGCTCCAGCACACAGCCGATATTCAGAAGCTAATAAATGGTCTCTTTCCCAGCATCGGAGTGGAAGAACAGCTTCCCTATGTTTTGTCCCAAGGCCTCTGCCCCTGGAGGTCATTATCCCAGGGTCTCTGTCCACTGCATTCCAAGCGAGAGTGTCTTTTGCCCAGACGGCTCCTGCAGCTCAGTGATCCCTGGTCTCAGCTCTGACCTGACACTTTCCCCTTTCCTTTCGCCTCCCCTCATTCAGGGAGGCTCCTCGGGCAAGGGCACCGCCCTGAGGGGCCGCTCCGACGCCGACCTCGTGGTGTTCCTCAGCTGTTTCCGTGGATTCACCGACCAAGGGGCTAACCGCGCGGAAATTATCGCAGAAATCCGAGCACAGCTGGAAGCCTGCCGGCGGGAGAAGCAATTTGACGTCAAATTTGAGATCTCCAAGTGGGAGAATCCCCGGGTGCTCAGCTTCACGCTGACGTCCAAGACCCTGGACCACAGCGTGGACTTCGATGTGCTTCCTGCCTTCAATGCTTTGGGTGAGCTGCTTTTAAAGGGAGATGAAGGAGCTCCCCTCCGCCCTCATTTTCCCCAGGGGCTGGGCTCACTCTCCTAACCCCTGGTGTTCTTCTCCATGTCTGTAAAAACACCCTCTCTTTTGTCCAACGGTGATGCCTGTCCAGATCTCTAACACCCCGAAAGCAAAATGCAAACTCCTTTGCTGCTTGTTTGCTTTCAAATATATTTCGAGGTGTTGACTAAACCCTAGTTAGCACCTGCTGTGATTTACGACTAGGTAACCACTCCAAATTAAGCAATCACACCTTGTAGCCAGCTTTTTTTTTTCTCTTTCTTCTCCCCAACTCCCACTTCCCTTGGTTCCTCTCCTGGTCTTTCTCCCTTCCTTTCTTTTTCCTTTCCTCTCTCTCTGTCTGATCATCTCAATGGAAGAGGGGACTCGGAATCAGAAAAGCTGAAATACCTGTGTTCAAATCCTTCCTAAACCACTGTGTGACCAGGTCACTTAACTTCTCTAAGCCTCAGTTTTCACATCTGTAAAATGGAGATTGTAATAGCTCCAAGGTTGTCATGAGAACCACCATACGTGTATGTGAGTATATATATATATATATATATATATATATATGTGTGTGTGTGTGTGTGTGTGTGTGTGTATATACACATATATATGAATTTATAATTTTCATATTAATTGATATGATCTGTGTATGACTAAATCAATAATTTAGTTTTCTCCAGAGCTGCCTCTCTGACTTCAGAGTCAGAGCTCCCAATGCAGCTTAAACTGATTAATCAAAACTCTGACAATGGCTCACAATCACTGGACCTTAAGTGAATGGAATCAAAGATTGTATAACCCGTTCATGTCTCAGAACTCTGGTTCTGTACTTTAGGGGAGGTGATCACAATCCACAAAGACTTGACTCCAGAATTATTGTATTATGAGACTTATGGATTTATTGTGAGAAACCACTAAATGATTGTTTGTAATCCACCTTCCCCAGTTGTGATTTAAGTATATAACCTGTGCTTTTACTTCACCCAAGAGAACATTCCTTACTTTGAAACTGATTATAAACTATTTGATTATTGTCACTCCAGTCTCTAGGCCTGCTTTGTGTGGCTCTAAGCATTCTCAGGTTAGAAACTGGCTCAGTAAAATTCCTGTTCACACACACACACATATACTTTGAAAACTTCAATATTAATGTTAGCTGTAATTATTATCTCTTTGTTTTTCTTCCCTTCTCTTTCCTTCCCCCTTTCACTCTTGTTATCCTTCTCTCTTTTTCTTTTTCTCCTTTTCTATCTTCCTGAGCAGGATATAAAGCCTGATACATTATCTTCCTTCCTTCCTTCCTTCCTTCTTCCTTCCTTCCTTCCTTCCTTCCTTCCTTCCTTCCTTCCTTCCTTCCTTCCTTCCTTCCTTCCTTCCTTCCTTCCTCTCATCCTCTTTTGCTGTCTCCTTTCTTTCCACCTCTCCCTTTCTTTCTTTAAAAAAAAATGTATGAAGTAAAATTGATTGAGATCATGGAGAATGCCAGGACTAGAAGGGATCATAGATCAGTCAACTAGTTGGTCAGCCAGCATTGATGAAGCACTTACATGCCAAACACAATGCTAAGCCCTGGTTTAGACACCTAAAATCACAGAGAGTTGGTGGTAGAGCTGGACTTAGGACCCGGGTCTTTTACCTCTCCAGAGGGGTCATCTCCTTCACTCATCAGGCAAATGAAGGCGTTGGACTCCATGGCCTGTGAGGTCCCTTCTAGCTCTGACTCTGTGGCCCCATGATCCTTTAGCTGTCCCTGATGTACTGATGAATGATCCCTTAGGTCAGACCCTGAATGGGTAAGACATTGTAAAACAACATATACAAAACTCACTAAGCCATGAGACCTCAGGTTTTCAAGATGAAATACACCTTCAGTTTTGCTGGTATCTCACACAAGAGTTTCCACAAAAGTCCACAATCTGCACCTTACACAGTGGTGAGCTTAATACACTGATAAATGTGGTGTGTTTCTTTTCTCCTCATTTTAGGTCAGTTGAGCTCAGGCACAAAACCTGATACCCAGGTCTACATTGATCTCATCGACAGCTACAATAATGGAGGTGAATTCTCCTCCTGCTTCACAGAACTGCAGCGAGATTTTGTTATCTCTCGCCCCACCAAGCTGAAGAGTCTGATCCGCCTGGTAAAGCACTGGTACAAACAGGTAAAGCCCAGTAGTCAGCCCCTCCATTCTTCAGGGCTGAGCTTCCTTTGGGGGTGTTCCAAGGTTTCTTCCAACTGTACTTTCTATGGTACACATTTACTTTCAATTTTGAAATTTTATGTTCTAAAAATCCTTCCAAATCAGACATTCCCTGTTCCAAGGCCCCTCCCAGCCCTGATATTCTGTATCATAAGGTCCTTTCCACATCTGATATTCCATGTTCTAAGGTTTAGTTAAAGGGAAGGCAGGGACAGGAAATGAGTGGCTTCTTCTCAGAAGCTGGGAGCAGCTGTGGTCCAACTTCCTGGGTAACACCCAGCTGGCTCTGAGGTTACATGTCTGCCCTTCCCCAGATAATTTTCTTTCTCAATCACCACCACCCACAGAATCATAAGAATAATAGTTCACAATGGTCTTGGAGGTCACCTTGTCCTACTCCTTCATTTTATAGAATAGGAAACCATGGCCCCACAAAGATGCGTGTCTTGCCCAAGGCCACACAGGTGACAAACAATAGAATCAGGATTCAGACCCTGGCCTTCTGACTCCAAATCCTCTGCTCTTTCCCACCAGCTAGTCTACCAACAATACAAACCAGCTCCTGGACCTCCGGAGGTGGGGGGGAGTGGGGAGGGCAGTGACCTTTTTGCCCATTGCCCTTTCTGCCTTTTCCCACCAGTGTATGAGAGCTCCCAAAGGGAGAGGAGCGCTTCCCCCACAGTATGCACTTGAGCTCTTGACCATCTATGCCTGGGAACAGGGGAATGGGACATCTCAGTTCAACATGGCTGAAGGCTTCAGGACAGTCCTGGAATTGGTCCAGAATTACAAGAACCTCTGTATCTACTGGAAGGTCAACTATGATCCTGATAATGAGATCATCAAAAATTTCCTGACTCAGCAACTCCGGAAACCCAGGTTCTAACCCATTCTTTCCCTCCCCTTCTTGTATAGTATTCACTCCCTTAAGTCAAAACGAGAGGCACCTTGTGTTAAGTGCTAGATCCTTAAAGGAAGGAGAAAGAGAACAAGAATTTATTAAGTGCTTACTACATGCCAGGCACTGTGCTAATTGCTTTACAAATATCATCTCTTTTTGACCCTCGCAACAACTGATATATTATAACTGCACCCCCCATGTGTTTCTCTGACTAGGCAGAATCCTGAGTTCTTTAGCACCCAAGGGACAAGGGGCAGGGATGTAGGTCTCTATTTGTGAGGCAGTGGAAGAAGGCACCAGAGGGATATGTTAGGGATCTCAGGATCACATATTTGGGGCTAAAAAGGACCTCCAAGGTCATCTAGTCTAACCCCTTGATTTTTTAGATGAGGAAACTGAGAACCAGGAATGGAATAGGAGAATTAGTCTGATGTAAGAAATGGATTGTGGATAATCCATACATGTAGAGTTAGCTCTAACTGAGATAGAATCTCTTGAATGGTACCCATAGGCCAATCATCCTGGATCCTGCTGACCCAACTGGGAATCTGGGCCATGGCACCCGCTGGGACCTATTGGCAAAGGAAGCTGCCTCCTATGCAAATTCTGTATGCTGTGCAAACAAGTCTGGGGACTTTGTCCAACCCTGGGCATTGAAGGTGAGAGAAATCTTCAGTAGCTCAGAATTAGGGAAGGGGTTTGGAATCTCCTGAGGACATGTAATGGCACCTCTGGCAAGGAAGTGAAAACCCTGAAGATGTCCAGAGCTGAGCAGATCAGGAAAGAGGAAGAGAAAAGGAGATAGTTGTTGAGTCCAGATAATCCTTCCTTACCCACAGATGATGATGTGAACCAGAACCAGGCATCAGAACTGAGCCCTACTGGTTTCCATTCTCAGTGGCCTGTGGTCACTTGATGGTGCCTTTGTCTTGGTTTTTCCAACAGCCCATCGGGAATCTTCTATTTGCCTTCCAACTTTACCCACAGAGGTTTGGGGTATAATGGTAGTTGTGCAGACTGGTATCAATACCAAAGAGATGACCTTTGTATCCCTTTAGGTCTCTTCATGAACCTGGAATATCCTGCCTCTGAACCCCAAGTTCTTCATCATGTGGACAGCCTGCAGAGCTGAGATGCAAGATCTTCTGCTAGATGTGTGCATATAAAAACCCAGCCCTAGCCACCTCTCCATTTCCCCCAGGGACTGTCTTAACTGGCTTATTCTCCCTTTGAGCACTGTTGCCGACCCTTTTCCCATTTCTCACCCTTTAAGGATGGTCCTTACCAGTGCTTCGGTCATCTGTCCTCTATTTTCTTGTCCACGTTGTCTTCTTCAGACAGTTCATTCCTTCCCATGAAGTCAGTTATCACCTCTGCAGATGCCACGAGACCACCCAACTCCAGCCCTGATCTCTGTCCTGAACTTCACCAGGGTGACCCAGCAGTACCTCGAACTCAGCATACTCAAAGCTGAATCACAAATGCCAGACTTGTAGGCACGCAGACCTGGGTTCAATTCCTTCCTCTGACATTTTCACTAGCTGCCCAGTTGTGGACAAGTCATTTCATTTCTGAGAGATTCCGTTTCCCTCTCTGTAAAATGGGGACAAAATAATACTTGTAGTACCATCTTGAGCCGCTAGGTGGCAGAGTGGATATAGCGCATTTCAGGTCTGTAGTCGGAAAGACTTAAGTTCAAATCCTGCCTCAGGTACTAGCTGTGTGACCCTGGACAAGTCATTTCACCCTGTTTGCCTCAATTTCCTCATCTGTAAAATGAGCTGGAGAAGGAAATGGAAAATCACTCCATTATCTCTACCAAGGAAATCCCAAATGGGGTCATGGAGAGTTGGACAGAACTGAAACAACCGAACAACAAAAAATATCCATCTCACAGGGTTGTTCTGAAGTTCAAATGAGATAATGTCTGTAAAGGGCTTTGCAAGCCTTGAAGAGCTCGATTAATGTCACAGAATGTCAGAGTTAAGAGGGCCCTTAGAATATAGGATGTCAGAAGTAGAAGAGAATTTGTAAAATAAATGAATTTTATTGGTTTTGTTTTTACATTGACTAGATTTCCCCCCTTTATCCCTTCTCTTCCCCTCCAAGAGGGTCCCTGCTTATAATGAAGTTGTTTTTTTGATTTGTTTTGTTTTGTTTTAAGAAAGGAAGGGAGGGAGGAAGGGAGGAAAGAAGGAAGAAGGGGAAGCAAGGGGGGAGGGAGGGAAGCCAGGAAGGAAGAGAAGGAAGAAGGGAAAAAAGGAAAGAAGAAATGATTTTCAGGGATATCTTTTGTTTTCACATTGCCTAGATTTCCCCTGTATCTCCACCTTTCCTTCCCCAGAGAAACACTGCTTATGATAAAGAATGTTTTAACAAGGAAGAGAACAAAATGAAAAAAATTTACCAATGTATCCAAACAATCTGGCCTTGTATACAATGCTGCACATGTATGGACTCTGACCTGTGTAAAGGAGCAGGGGAAAGTGTCTTATCATATCTCTTCTTTGGGGCCCAGTTTACTTTAAATCATTTCACAACTATTACTTTTGATTCTTCTGCAGTGGTTGTTCTTTCTCTTTACATTGTCATCATTGTATATATTGATTTTCTGGTTTTGCTTTCTTCCCTTTTCACCAGTTCATAAAGGTCTTTTCATGCTTCTCTGTATTTATTACGTTTGTTTCTTAGAGCCCATTACATTAATGTACGATGATTTGTTTGGCCATTCCCCAATCAATGGGTATCTACTCTGTTTCCATTTTTTTGCTACCATAAAAAGAACTGCTCTAAATATTTTGAATCATGTGGAGACTTTCTTGTCAATGACGTCCTTTGGATATTTGCCTAGCAGAAGAGTCTATGGGTGAAAATGGATGGACATCTTAGTCACTTTCTTTGCATACTTCCAAATTACCTTCTAGAATGGTTGTATCAATTCACTGCTCCACCAACAATGTACTAGTGTACCTGTCTTTCCACAACCCCTAGGAGGAAGTATAAGGCATTAGAATGCTAGAGCTGGAAGGATCCTTACAGATCACAAGGAAACTGAAGTCCAAAGGTGATTGGCCCAAGTTCATATAATTTTCTTCCTACACTCATTCCTCAGAAAAGATTTTGCCAAGAGCACCACCCACTTCCCATTCTCTAATGCTCAAAGCCTCAGAGTGCTCATTGCCTCTTTCCTGTCTTTTCTTTCCTATGGCCAATGAAAGAAACATCAAGTCCACCCTAGCCTTTCTAAAGCTCAGTGTTCATAAAGTTGCATGACATTCAAGTCCTTTGAAAAAATCTGTCATTCTCTTGGTTTCTCTGTTTTCCTCTGTCTCTGCATTTTCCTCTTAATCTGTCTCTCCCTTTCATTCTGTCTCTGTTTCTGTCTCTCTCTCTGTCTCTCTCTCTGTCTCTCTCTGTCTCTCTCTCTCTCTCTGTCTCTCTCCCTCCATCTCTCCTTCCCTCCCTCTATCTCTCCCCTCCTCTCTTCCCCTTTCCCCATATCTATTGGTTTCTTTCTTGCCACTTAAAAATATGTTTAGACCTCCTTTTTCCTTAAAAAGGAAACAAACCCTTCCCTCTACTCTACCATTTCTCAATCTTGCATCTTAGTTCTTTCTTCCCTTTCACAGCTAAAATCCTAGAAAAAATAGTTTACATTCACTCACTGCCTGTACTTTCTCATCCTCTTGCAAATTGGCAGCACAACTCACCACTCTCCCAAAACTGCTACCTCAAAGGTTGCCAGTGATCTCCTAGGATATAGATGTTAAATCAATGGTCATTTCTAGTCGTCCTTATTGACTTCTCTGCAGTTTTGACACTGTTGACCACCTAACACTGTTGACTGCCCACTTCTCCGTGGTTTTTCATGATGTGGCTTCTCTACTGGTTTTCATCCTACTTACCTGAGTTTCCTTCCTAGATGATCACCTCTGTTCCAGACCTGCTTCTTTTCTCTGTATATAGTCCCTCTAATAATGATCCCATTAACTCCCATGGGGTCAATTATCATCTCTATGCAGGTGACACACACAGGTGTGTGTATATATGTATATCTGTACATGTATATGTGTGTATATACATATATGTTACACATACATGTGCACATGTATAGATATGCATATTTTGTATGTATACATACAATATATGTATATTGTAACATTGTATATGTATAGAAGGATGGATAGAGAGAGAGAGAGAGAGGTGTGTGCATGTGTGTGTATGTACCTCTTAGGCACCACCAACTGAATGTCCCATAGGCATCTCAAACTCAACATGGCCAAAATGGAATACATTATTTTAATGACTAAATCCACCTCTCCTCCAAACTTCCCTCTTTGTGTCAAGGGCACCATCATTCTTCCAGTTACCTAGGTTCTCAACCTCAACATCATCTTCCTCTCCATATCCAATAAATGACAAAGTCATGGATTCTACCTCTACAGCAGATCTCATATCAGGGCCAGAATCCTAGGGGGAAAAGGAGTCTATATTCATGGCCTCCACTCATTGACCCCTTCTCACCATTTTGGGCTTTCATCATTTTTGTCAGAACTATTAAAACAGCCATGATTTCCAGTCTCTTCTTTGCCAACTGTTCTTCCCCACAGTCACCAGAATAATCTCCTTACAGCATCATGTCACCCCTTTACTCAGGAAATCCTGATCATTCCCTATTGCCTTTAGGATTAATTACAAAGTTGAATTGACACAATGACGATATTTCAGAGGCAAACAACTCTGGAAGACTTGAGAACTCTGATCAATGCACTGGATCAGTGGCAAAGAAGGCCACCCACCTTTCTGACATGGATGGATATGAGATGCAGAGAGAGACATAGCAATTTTTTTTGACATAGCAATATAGGAAATTGTTTTGCTTGATTATGTGTATTTGTTACAAGCATTTTGTTTTCTGCTTTTTATTTTTTCAATTGGAGCAGGAGTGGAAGGTGGGAATGAGAAAAAATTGTTCATTGATTTTTATTAATTGATTAATTGTTAACTGATCTTTTCATTTTTAAAGTTTTTTTTTTAAAGAATAAAATACAAACTCCTCAGTTTGCTATTTAAAACCCTACATCAACTGGTTACAACCAACCTTTCCATTTTTATTGTTCATTATTCCCCTTCAAATACTCCATGTAAGCACTACAGTAAGACTGATCTGCTACCTGTACCCCCAGCTCAACATGCTAATTGTCACCTCCATGAATTCACACAAGCTTAATCCTGGGTCTGGAATAGACTTTCTCCTCATCTCTGCCTTCCAGAATTCTTGTCTTCCTTTGAGGTTCCGCTCAAAGGTATCCATAGCGTCTCAGAGATATCCAGATAAAGCTGTACAGCTCTGTATTACAGAGCAGGAAAGTCAGGTGTGACACCTCCTCCATATAGACTCCCCTCCTTGACCTCCCTAGCTGAAAATGTTTTCTCCTTTTTGAAATAATCATGGCTAGCATTTATGCAACACTTTAAGATTTGCAAAGCACTTTACAAATATTATCTTACTTTATCCATTTAACAACCCTAGGGAACAGGGGGTGAGGATGTAGGCACTATTATTATCCCCATTCTATAAATGAGGGAACTAAGGCAGTCAGAGGACAGGAGTCTTGCCAAGAATCACATGGTTTGCAAATGTCTGAAGCAGCTTTAGAACTCAAGTCCAATGATCTATCTGCTGTACCACCTAGCTGTCTCAAATACCCCTAGAGTGATATCTCTGGATCTCTCTTTTGTCTCATTCCACCCTATCAGATGCTGTATGGTGATGGAAACCTCTTTCATGACAACAGCAGATACCTTTTCAAGTATCTGTTTTCCACCTTAATAATCAGGGGGCAACTAGGTGGTGTCATAGTACATTAGCCTGGAGTCAGGAAGCCTTATCTTCCCGAGTTCAAATTTGGCCTCAGACACTTACTAGCTGGGTGACCCTGGACAAGTCACTTCGCCTTCAGTTTCCTCATTTGTAAAATGAGCTGGAGAGAGAAATGGCAAACTACTCCCGTATCTTTGCCTAGAAAACTCCAAATGGGGTCATGGAGAGTAAGACACGACTGAAAACGATTGAAAAACACCAACAAGAACTGAGGGAGGGGCCATTTTCCAAAATCTTAGTTTTTTTGGATGTTAAGCTTCAAGCCAGCTTTTACACTCTCCTGTTTTACCCTCATCAAGAAGTTTCTTAATTCTTCCTCACTTTCTGCCATCAGAGTGATATCATCTGCATATCTGAGATTGGTAATCTTTCTCCTGGCAACCTTAAATCCAGCTTTTGGTTTGCCCAGCCTGGCATTTTACATGATGAGCTCTGTATATAAGTTAAACAAATAAGCGGGGTATTTTCGAATCCTGAAGGTCTTCTGCCCGAGGCTGGATAGTGGACCATCAGGATGTTGCAAAGGGAACCCCAAAGCTACAGCTTACACAAAATGGCCTCCGGAGTCTCTTCCTGATCTGAGATTCTGTGATTTTGTGAACATCCCACTCCTGGGCCTCCACACTGAGAGGTCTTTATACTATACTGGGACGTCTCTCAGGGAAACTCAGGGACTGACCAGGGAGGGAAGATGTGCACTTTCAGGGAATGTAGAACAAAGGACCAGAACTTTCTCAAAGGGAAAGTGACATCCTTACATCCTCTAGAAAATTAGGGAGTTAGACTTTCGATTTAGCATCTAAAATTGATCCCAGTCCTGACATTCCCTGTTTTAATGCCCCTCCCAGCTCTGACATCCCCTGTTCTGAGGCCCCTCCCAGACCTGACATTCCCTGTGCTAAGGCTTCTTGCAGAAGGTGGGATTTTAGCTGGGATTAAAGGAAGCCAGGGAAGTCAGGAGACAGAGATGAGGAGGTAAAGAATTCCAGACCTATGAAAATGCCTGGAGCTGAGCAATGGAGGGCCTTGTGAAAAAAACAAAGAGGCCAGTATCCTGAAAGCTCTTGGAACCTTCTCTCTAAGCTCTGACAGACTATACTACTGATCCTGTGCCTAACAGCATCTTTTAAAAAGGAAGTTAAGCAGGCATCCAGACAGAATACTGAAATATGAGCAAAGACTGGGAGGAGAAAGCTTATGGAAGAGACCAAAGCCTATCAGTAGTTTAGAAGCCGAAGGGGGCAGGGAGGAGGGCGGAAATAGCAGGAGAAACAGCTGCTATTCAGAATCGAAACCTAAAGACTTTAGTTTCTCTTTCTACTTTGAGTAAGGCCGGAGGACTCTTCCACGGGCTAGCTTAATCGTAAAGTTAATATCCTGAAGAAGGAAGGAGGAATAATGTTAAAATCTTGGTGGAGCTGGTGGTACAGTCAGCAAGTGCTTTACTTTGAGCCTGCTGACAATCTAGACCAATTCATTCAGAATGAGCTAAAGCCCCAAGAAAAGCATCTGCTGCAGATTGACAAGAGCATTGATAACATCTGTGAGTCCTTGGAGAAACACGCACCTCCCATTCAAGTGAAGGGTATAGTTGTGGTAAGTGTGACCCCCAACCCCCTTGAATCCCACAAACCTCAATTTGAAACAGAATCTGCTCTAAGAAAGAGACAAATGAAATTGGGGTACATGTGTCCATGGTTTAATTTCTCTCAAGCTGGCTTGATGTGCATTGCATGGGAGTTCAGTCCAAAACTGGACCCCCCCAAGGGCACCAGTTCAGAACTGATTAGGTTTGGGATTTTGGGGTACAGCCTTTGTGCCTTTTGATACTTTTTTTTTAGGCAATTGGGGTTAAGTGACTTGCCCAGGGTCACACAGCTAGTAAGTGTCAAGTGTTTGGTCTGAGGCTGTATTTGAACTCAGGTACTCCTGACTTCAGGGCCGGTGCTCTACCCACTGCGCCACCTAGCTGCCCCCTTATATGCCTTTTGAAGAATAGGTGTTCCCAAAGGGTGCCAATCAACCGTGATTGGTTGACATACCAGGAGGTGGGATATATTAAAATGAGGTCTTGAGTACATGCTTTAGATCACTCAGTCCACAGGGGCCAATATTGCTGCCCATCGAAGGAAATACTACCACCAGTGTGGGGAGTCTGTCTCCACCTGAAGCAGAATAGGATAAAATCAATTCAGTCCTGGGTTGGAGTTTGACCAAAATCAGAAGATTCAAAGCAATCTCATTATCAGAGATTTTCCTTCTGAGCAACTTTGGTCAGAAGGCTGGCAGGGGGAGCTCTGAGTCTCCAAGACACAGATTACCAAAAGAAATCATTTTTCATATAATCAGTGGGAAGGAGAGGGGAAGAGGAGGGGTGAAGGGAAAAGAGGAGAGAGAGGGAAAAAGGAGGGGGAAGGAAGGAGGAAAAGGTAAGAAAATGAGAGATGAGAGGAGGGTGAAAAGGGCAGGGGAAAAGGAAAAGACGGAAAAGAGAGGGAGAGGAAAAAAGGAAGAGAAAGGGAAAAGAGAGAAGAAAAGGATCAGGAAGTAGAAGAGGGAAGGGAGAGAAGAAAAGGCAGGGGAAGAGAAAAAGGGAGGAAGAGAAGAAAGAAGAAAGAGGGGGGAGAGGGGAAAAAGGGATAAGGGGAAGGAAGAAAGAAAGGGGAAGAGAAAAGAAGAGAGAATGGGTGAGAAAAGGGGAGAGAGAGGAAAGGAAAAGGAGAAAGGGAGGGAAGAGGAAAGGAGGGAAAAGAAAGATGAAGGGGCAGAAAATCAATGAAGGAACAAGTTTTTATTGAGCACCCACTACTATGTACCAGGTACTGTTCTAAGTGCTGAGGCTACAAAGACCAAAAAAAAAGAAAAAAGAAAAAAGAAAAAGAAAATACGCTCCCATCCCTCCAGAAGCTTTTTTTCCCTCTGAGTGCTCTCCTCTCCCTGTTTATTTTTTTTAAATCTTATTAATTTATTTTGATTTATCAATAATCACTTCCATGTGCTTTTGAGTTTAAAATTTTTCTCCCCCTTCCTCCCCACCACCCGCCCCAAGATGGTGCACAATATGATGACAGACTCTGCATTTACATTCCTATAAGCTTATGTTTTCTGAAGAGAAAACATGCGTAGACAAATATATGCAAAATAAATACAAGGTAATTTGGGATGGGGATTTGGAGTAGCAGAGGTCCTTACATCTGGGGAACAGAAAAAGCTGTATATACTCTAAAAGGTGGAATTTAATCTGAGCCTTAAAGGAAAACAGGGATTCTCAGAAGTAGAGGTGAAGAGGGAGGGTGTTGCGGGCATGAGGGACAGCCTATGCAAAGACACAGAGATGGGAGACTAAATGTCAGCTCTGAGGAACAGCAGTTTGACTGGACCAGAAAGTGCTTAGAGGGGAATGATGTATAATCAGTCTGAAAAGGTAAGTTAGAACCAAGTTGTAAAGAGCTTTTTAAAAAAAAAATTTAGGCAATTAGGGTTAAGTGACTTGCCTGGGGCACACAGCTAGTAAGTGTCAAGTGTTTGGTCTGAGGCCAGATTTGAACTCAGGTCCTCCTGACTTCGGGGGGGAGCTCTATCCACTGTACCACCTAGCAAAGAGCTTTAAATGCTAGAATTTGTGCTTAATCCTAGCGGTAATAGGAACCCACTGGAGTTTATTGAACAGGAAGTGATATGATCAGACCTATGTTTAAGAAATGTTACTTTGGAAGTTGGGGGGGCGGGCCTGGGTGGATGGGTTTCGAAAGGATAGCAGTTGGAGTTATGAAGATAATTATGAGACTTCAGCAACATTCCAGTAGAGAGGCAAGGAAGGAGGGGGACATGGGGAGCACAAAGATGAAAAGTATTAATAAAAATACTACAGTAGGTTACAATAGGCTTCTGGTTGGCCTCTTGACATCAAGTTTTTCCCCACCCTAGTCCATTCAGCTGTCAAATTGATCTTCCCAAAGCACAGGTCTGACCCCCACTCTTCAGTAAACTTTCTATCACCTCTAGGATCAAATGCAAATCTTCAGTTTGACATTCAAAGCCCTTCATTACCTGATGCCCCAGCCACACACCTTTCTGGTCTTTTTACACCTTGTTCCCCACTATGTATCCTGTGATCCAGTGACTCTGGCCTCTTTGTTTCTCTTACAAGACAATCCACCTCCCAGCTCCAAGCATTTTCACTGACTGTCCCCTCTGCCTGGAATTCTCTCCATCCTCATCTTCGCTTCCTGGACTCACAGTGCACAAGAGTCTGGGTCCCTGCCTCCTCTGAACCCACAGCCTCTATAGAACCAACCACTCTAATTGTCTCCTAACCTGTGCTGGGCATGTCTGCTCTCCATAGAGGCAAGAACAAGGTTTCCAGCCATAGCTTTTGTTCCCTGGAGGCTTTTCCCCTGCAGTCTTATTTGGGCAGCCTCAAGTCAAGCAGGTCTAAAGGCTGTGACAAGGAGGCTTCCAGCCCAGAGCTGTAACTAATCAGACCTAGGTGCTGCTGCCACAGTGGGCACAGAATGTATGCCATGGATTCCTTGACCCCTAATTGGTATTGGATGACTGTAGGGTAGGGTTTCTCCAGGGTTTTATTCTGTAGCTTAGGAAAGGGGAATAGGGTGGGAGACCAGAAAGGGAATTTCATAGTTCTGTGGAATGTCAAAGCTGAAAAGGAAGGGAGCTTGGGGAAGCTGTCCCTCCCCTCAGGACTCACGCATTGCACAGCCCATTCTAAATATCCTTCTCTTGGGAGGAGCACAGGAATGTGGGCTGACAGTCCCACTGGTGCCCTTGGCATAACATGTTCAGTAGACTGCTTTGGGGTTTAAAAATTCTGTTTTAATCTTCCCTAAGTTTCCTAGCAAAGCTACTTTGGAAATCTTTCTGCCTTTTCTTGGTTGGACTGAGGTGGAGATTTTCCCCTATACCTAATTCAGAACAGAATCAAACACTGTGAGAGAAAGCTGGAATGAGTGGAGAGGTAAGAGAGATAGCAGTCATGGAGATCCTTTTTCCTTGCATTGCCAACCTCACTAGACTTTGCCTGGATGTCTGGCCAGCAACTCAAATTTAACCAATCCCAAAGAGAACTCATTATCTTTTCCTCTAAAGCAGAAATTCCTCCTCCAAACCTCCCTGTTACTGTTGAAGTTTCCACTGTCCTCGTCATCACACTGCTCTTTCCTCTTCCTCACTCTGCCCAGCCAATCAGCTGCTAAGGCATGTCAGTTCCATCATCACAGTGTCCACCATTACACTGTCACAGCCCCTTCTTGCCTCTCACATCCTAGACCAGGCCCCCATCACCTCACCTGGATGACTGAAATCATCTATGTGATCTTCCTGCTGCCAATCAATCTCTCTCCTTTTCCTTGCATTGTGTTCTTCACAAAACTGCCAAAAGATCCGAAGACCTATGACCTAAAAACCTTCAGTGGATCCCTCTTCTCCTCCAGAAAAAAATCCAAACTCTTCAGCCTCTAGGCTCTGGTTCCCACCTCCACTTCCAGGTTCATTCCCCCCTGGTCCCCTTCACACATTCTATGCTCTAGCCAAACTGTTCCCTGCTCTCTGCATGGCAGTTACCACTTCCATGCACGCATGCCTGGGATGCATTCCTTCCTCATCACCATCTCTTAGAGCCCCTATCTTCCTTGGGGCAGCTAGGTGGCTTAGTGGATAGAGTTCTGGGCCTGGAATCAGGAAGACCCGAGTTCAAATCCAGCCTTAAACACTTACCAGCTGTGTGATCCTGAGCTTGGTCTCTGTCTGCCTCAGTTTCAGATAAAATGAGGAAATAATAACAGCAGGGTTGTTGTGAGGATCAAATGAGATATTTGTGAAGTGTTGGTACATGGTAGGCATTTAATAAATGCTTGTTTCCCCCCCACACAACATGTTGAATAGAGTATAAGCCCTTTGAGGGGCAGGGACTCTTCAGTGTTTGTCTTTGAATCCTGCAGAATCTAGAAACCTTAGAACCTTTAGAAACATGAGCTGGTTCTTTTTTCTCCTGTATTTGTTTTCTAGGACAATCTAAGGGAGTTGGGGCTCTAGGGAAGGGTTTAAAAGTCTGGTGTTGGAGAAACCAAAGAGAGCTGGGCTGGCTGGTCCTTCTTGCCTGGATTTTCCTCCTGCTGGCTGTCTCATAAGTGACAGACAGGGAGGTCAGAACACTTCTGGTCCCATCACACATTTTCTCTTCCCTCACAGGGTGGGTCCTATGGCAGAGACACTGTTCTCAGAGGCCACTCCGACGGCACCCTTGTCATCTTTCTCAAAGAACAAATTGAAGTGGAGCTGATAAAGTTGAGGCTGTTGGCAATAATGGGCAAAGTCAAGATGGTAGAGGATAAGCACCAGCTGGTACTGACCGAGTCTGACCTATGCATTACCTTTAACGTGCTTCCAGTCTTCAGTGCCTTGGGTAAGTACCCTGGAGAGGTATCATGTCAGCAGGTGATATAAAGCATTGGCTTTGGCAATAAGAGGGGGATTGAAGGAGTAAAGATGGATTTTTGGTGGAGGATACCCAAGAGGGTAAAGGATCATTCTCCCCATTTCACAGATGAGGAAACTGAAGTTGAGAGGTAACATGGCTGTCCAAGGTCACACACTGACCTGTTTGTAGAGCCAGCATTAGAACCCTTTGTATTTCTTATAAAAAATAATTTTCATGTTATTATATGTAATATAATATATGTAATATATATGTTATTATACATATAATACAAGTTATTATAAGATATTACTGCTTGATTTTTAGACCATTTCAAGGCAAAGTAACAAAAGATAAAAATAAACTAGTCAGTCAATAAACATTTATTAAGTGCCGACTAAGTACCAGGCACCATGCTAGGCACAGAGACTACAAAGAGAGTCAAAAGGTGATCCCTGTTCATAATTAAATAAGGGAGAAAACAAGCAAAAAACATATGCCAAAAAAACCATATTTAGGCTAAGTAGGAAATAATTAATGAAGAGAAGGTCCTAAAATTAAGAGGAATCAGGAAAGGCTTCCTGCAGAAGGTGGGATTTTAGTGAAAACTAAAATAAAATCATAAAATCAAGCTGACTGCTCTGTCTGAGTCCCTAGGACATACTTTTGGAGCTGGAAGGGACCTCTGAGGTCATTTCACAGGTGAAGAAGCTGAGAGAAGTTAATGGACTTTCCCATGATCACACAGGGTAGTCAAGGGCAGAAACAGAGTTTAAACCGAAGTCTTCTAACTTCCAAGTTCTTCCCATTCTACAATTTGATCTTTCATATAGCCCTTCTCTAACCTGTAATTTTCCTGGGCCATGGGATGGTCAAAGATAGAATGTCTCATGTCCCTTCTGTCTTGCCTGCTCCTAGTTTTCTCCCTGAGTTATAATCATTTCCCATCATGGCCTGAGACTTCTGACTTCTGACTTCTCTGGAGTCTTCTCCAAGGAAGAGAAAACACAGCAAGCTATTGCTCCCAGATGTATATTTAAATTTATTTAGAGTCAATGGAGTTCACCTTTCCAAAAGTGAAAACCACAGCTTACACTTGGTCATTTATATTACCAATATTTATTCATGACCCAGAGCTCTGAGCATGAGCTGACCAATCCTTGGGGCAGCCCTCACTCTCAGGTTCATTATGATGAAACTTAGATTTTACTCTGAAAAAAAAAATCAGACTATTAGTTGGAATAGCTTGTATCTAAGTCTCCACAGACATGAATAAAAAAAGTGGGGAGGGGGGCACCAGATCCTATACAATCACTCAAGGTAAAATACAAATTTGGTGACCTAACAGAAAGAGCCAAAATTGCAAAGGATTCACCTAGAAATGAAGACTTGTTGTCAGTTTTAGAAAACACGTCCTAACAATGAGAGTTTCCCAGTAATATTCAACGGTAGAATGGATTTCCTCAGGGGAGAATAAGTTCCCCATTACTCTTCATTGGAAGGCTGGATTTTGTAGAGGGACTTCCTGCCCGGGATTGAACCAGTTATCATCCTCTGAGGTCCCTTTCAACACTGAGAGCCTGTGATTTTATGTAGGTGTAAATGCTTAGTAACCTCAAAATGCTAGGTTGTTGTTATATAGATGAACTCTATCCTAATTGCTCTGACCCTCAGATAATCTATGTTTTTTAGACCTTGGACTTCCTATCCATCCCTCAATGTGCCTTCTAAATCTCCCTGTGACATTTGTCATCACTTGATGACTTGCGCTTACGAGACTAGATAGACCCCTTGTTTAGGGTCTATCAAAAGACCCTTCAAAGACCTTTGTTTCTTCCTGGCGTCTGTGTCCTCATTTTGGGTAGATATCACAAAGTGGAGAGCAGTGCTAAGTCAGGGCTCTGTGACCTCCAATATCCTACTCCCACAGATCTGGTTAAGGACACAGCCTGACGCATAATTCTATTTCATTCTGATTTTTAAAAAACAAACTGCTAAAACCAGAAAGTCCAACAATATACTAAGTTTAATTACTAATTGTATAATAATTATAGTAGAGTAATTAAATTATGTTGTAATTGTATTATGGTAATTCAACTGGTTTGTTGTTGTCCTTTGTTCTCAGAGAGGACCAAAATGACATCACTATATTAGAGTCAAGTTACAGGGTATCCTGTGGCTAATCAGACCAATATGAGCTTGGAATCTGCTACCACAGGTTGGGTACAAATACTCCATGTGAACATTTGAGGTGGATTCTCTAACTCTGTGCATCTCGCATTTCTTTTGAGTTACTTCAATTCTGCTTTGTTCATAGAGCACAAGACCTTCTCTGATGAGGGCACACCATGCTGGGTGGTCATTTATCAACATCTCCCATGTCACAAAATCAATCTCAAAGTTGGTCAGAGAGACCTTGAGAGTGTCCTTGTATCACTTTTTCTGACCAGCATGTGAATGCTTGCCCTGTGTGAGTTCTCCATAAAATAGTCTTTTAGGCAAGCATACATTTGGCATTTGAATAATGTGGCCAGCCCATTGGAGGGGGCGATAAACAGAGGGAATTAAGACAGCTAAAATAAGATAAGCAGGATTAAGGGTGCTAGGGGATGCCATAATGCATAGAGCACCAGGCCTGGAGTCAGGAAGACCCATCTTTCTAGTTCAAATCTGACCTCAGATACTTACTAGCTGTGTGACCCTGGGCAAGTCACTTCATCCTGTTTGCCTCAGTTTCCTCACCTGTCAAATGAACTGGAGAAGGAAATGGCAAACCACTCCAATATCTGTCAAGAAAGCCTCAAATTGAGTCATGAAGAGTTGGACACAATTGAAACAACTGAACAAAGCATTTATAGAATACTTTAAGGTTTGCAAAGAACCTTAATGATATCTGCTTTTATCCTCACAATAACCCAGGAAGGAAGCTGCTATTATTATTCCCATTTTACAGATGAAGAAACTAAGACAAACCAAGATTAAGTGACTTGCTCAGAGTCATGCAACAATTAAGTGTGTAAGGCTGGATTTGAATTCAGGTCTTCTTGATTTCAGGTTCAAAGCTCTATCCACTGTGCTACCCTAGCTGGCCTCTACCTGCTTTTCCAGAATTATTTCACATTACTCTCCTTTATACACTGTGCATTCTCATTTGGACTATCAGTTGTTCCCCAAATTCAGCTTACCATCTCCCACCTCCTCGCCTTTGCATTGGTTTTTAAAGGTCTTTAAATGCTAGGCTGAGGAGTCTACATATTATCCTGGAGAGAATAGGGAGCCACTGAAGGCTTTTTCTGCTAGAGGCTTGGCTTGGTGGAACAGCCTGAGCTTTCCATGCATTTTTCTCCTATCCAGTTGAACCAAGTGGCTGGCACACCCGTACGTCAGCCTCAAAGTATAAACCAAGCCCGGAGACTTACCGGAAATGGATATATCCAGGGAAATCTGTTCGTGAATCTTCAGTCTGCTTTACAGAACTACAAGGGAGTTTTTTCAACAATCGCCCCCCAAAACTGAAGAACCTAATACTCTTGGTGAAGCACTGGTATCAGCAGGTACTGTTCATCCTGGACTCTGATGGTTTTGAAAGCTCAAGTGGATCTGCTTTTAATTCCTTGTAACCAGAGCTGAGAATAGTTACATTACTGTGCTCAATTCTTGAGATAAAAATTGGATGGTAAGATAACAGGCATCCACAAGTCTTATCAAAATGTCCAATATGGCTCAAATAATAACAAGGTTTACTTGGACCTTACTGTTTTGAATAGGGTTTTAGTCAACTGAAGTTCAATGTGGGCCAACAGGGTCATACAGTGACCAATAAAATGAATTGGATTTGAGTCTGCATGAATAGAAACATATTGTCCAGGAATAAGGGGGTGAGGACCAGCTGCACTCTGCCATGATTAGACCATACATGGAGTCTTCTGTTTAGGTCTGGGGGCCATGTTTTAGAAAAGACAAAAAAGCCATTCCTTGTATTCCCATGGGCCTTAACACAGTATCTGGTATACAGTAGCCACTTAATAAGCGCTTTTGTTGATTTGACTTCAGAACAACTAGTATACTAAGGGGTCTCAAGTTCATACTATAAGAGGAGAGGAAGAAGTAAATGGGAATGGTTGCTATTTTTATTTGAAGACCCATCATTTAGAAAGCTAGCCTGTTCTTCTGGCTCCCAGAGAGCTAGTGCTGAGAGCCAGGAGTTAGGCTGGGCTGGGTTGGGTTGGGTTGTAGAAAGGCTAATTAGCACTGAAGGAAGGGCAATTTTCCTAATAATTAGGTCCATCCAGAATGGTAATGGGTTCCCCTCTCCACATCAAAAGTCTTCAAGAAATTAAAATCTATTCAGTTCAATTCAATTAATAATCTTGATAGCTAACATTTATATAGCTATGGTTTGCAAAACATTTTACATACATTTATTCATTTAATTTTCACAGCATCCCTGGGATGGAGATGCTATTACTATCCTCATTTTTACAAATGAAGAAACTGAGCTTGAGAGAGGTTAAGGTCACACAGCTAATAAATACCTGAGGCCAGATCTGAACTCAGGTCTTTCTCACTCTTGGCCCCATGTTCTATCCACTGCACCATCCAGAAGCATTTTCTTAAGTACTTACTAAGAGCCAGGCACAAAGCTAGGCATGGGGGATACAAAGACAGAAATGACAACCGTTCCGGCTCTCAGGAGCTTCCAGTCCACTAGGGAGATAGCAAATTTATAGACAAGGAAATGCTAAGTAATTTTGAGGAGGAAAGAGAGTTGGCATCTGGAGGCACAGGGAGAGCTCAATGTCTCTTTGTCAGGCATAATGTACAAAGGACTCTGGTGCAGGTGTGGGTGGTTCTATGATGCCATTTTCCTTGAGTTTGAGCTTATCCTTACAAAAAAAGCCTCACTAACAACCCCATGGATAAAACCAACATTGCCATTTCTGTTTGGTACCAGAGCTCAGAGAAATCAGCTTAGAAAAGGTTAAGAGCCCTTGCTTGGGGCCAACACCCTTGTCTGTAACTGGAGGAAATGAAGTCCCTGAGAGGCTGCAGGCCCCAAAGTAAACAGCTGGGTGCAGAGTCAGGTCTAGAAGCCTGGCCTCTACTTTTCTGAAAGTGTTGTCTTGCCTTCACCTTCAGCAGGGGAATATACTCTTCTAGTGACAGGCCTGCGTGATGTGGTCTGCATAGGGCTTAGTGGATGGGTGGGGCCCTCTACCTCCTCACCGATTGTCTTCCCATTCTCCTTCTGCAGTGCCAAAAGAGACTGAAAAAAGACTCCTTTCCCCTACAATATGCTCTGGAGCTGCTAACAGTCTATG